CAAAAGTCTTATATTTGCTGGAACTTGGTGATAATGTTGTACAAAAGTCACACTATGGGAGAAAACAATGGAACATTTTCATGCGGCTAATGAATCTGGTCGTTTTGTTGTAAATGTTTTTCTGTTTGGCGCTTGTTTAAAGCAATGTCTTTGTTGCTTGTTGTATATTGATTGTGTTCATGAGAAATGATTCTTGCTGTCAAAAAAGATATCAGTAGAAATAATTACAGTCGATGATAGCACCAAATGGTATCAAACATATTCATAATGACTTAGTCTTGGTACAACAAACATCACATCGAACTGCCCTCTTGGCAACCAAGGCAACTGAAGTCATCTTGGTAACCATGGAGATTCAGCAGCCATCTTGGTAACTATGGAGACTGGGCCAAGCTCTCTGCATTGTTGTGCATGAATGTGTATGTATCAAGTCAGTCCAAAAATGTGAGGAGTCAAAACTGTTCCAAATGGGCATGTGGTGAAGTTTAAGACTGTAAGTAATCATATGTGTTTACCAATACTTGAATAGCAAAGGAGTATAGGAGGTGTATCATTGGTCTTAGCATTGGTCACTTGTGGGAATGAAGATGGTGCCTAAAAACAAGGGTTTGATCTACGTTTTCTAAGTAAAGTGTGTTGCAGAACTTCCAGTATCTAGAATTTCCAGTAGTGTTCAATTTCTGTAAATAACATGCCTAAAAACAGAGAAACAACAAAACTTGTTAAGGATAGAAAATGCCAGACATAGAAGTCAGCCATAGGAGATAGCCACGTGATTATGGCAATACTTGATCTACCGTGTACCATAACTAATGTTATCATGTTGCCAAGATATATCTGTGACATCAAGGCAATCTATCATTGACATTATCACAAACAGCATGAACAATTTTAGACAGCCTTGTACATACACAGGATCACAAAGGTTACAATACTTAAGGCAGACCTCTCACACTGGCAATGCTAACTTGTCCACACTGTAATGCCTGTACTGTCAAGCCTTCCCAACACTTCTCTATGTAAATACATATAAGCAAGGAGCTTACTGGTTGTGATGATGCAGTTCTGTAAATAAATGTTGTGACTGTTTAAGGCTGACTACTGAAATTTATTGCTTGTAAGTTTCTGACTCTGCTACACACTCACAGTTACCAATACAAAAGAAAGACATATGGGGGGCACCTAGCAGCCTGTGTGAAAACTGCATCAGTAGCTAACAGAAGACCAAGAACTATTCAGTATGTACTGTGTATTGTAGTCTGGTGAATCAGATACATAGACAATACCACAACAAGACATCAACATGTTATCAGGGCAAACAAAAGTCTATACAAAAACTGTTGATTGCTGACTTCTAATCTGTGCCATACAAAGTCTTCCTGTTTAGGACTGTAACAGCCCCTTCTTTGCATAGTTAGTGGGCATAGATCCCTGACTTTGGGAACCATTTCAAAAAATGAACTATCGATGAGAGGCTATTATGGGAGTCAATATAAAAGCTTATGTTAAACAGAAAAACAAAAGAAGCTTTGATTGGGACCAAAACATAACAACCCAGGTCACCCTTGGTAAGCATGACTTCAAACTCTAGAACAATCAAATGTAAGCTGATGACTGATAAAATATTAATATCTATATAAAATGGGGATAATTCTTGCTACCACCAAGCATCTAGAGTGGGTGGGGTTCTTTGGTGTGCAGGCTAACTTGGTACTGTCCCTTTGATCATTATGCCTACAGTTATATGCATACAGCCAATGATAACTTCATCAAGTTCCATGCATATTTGCCAACCAGAAAGCCTGAAGGCAAATGACATAACATTGACTCAGGATAGCCTACTAGATTGACCGTGTGTAGTTATCTCTTTTGTCCTTCTACAATCTGAATGCCACCTACAACACAAGTACATCAGAAAGGCAATCCAGTGATACAAAAGTGACACCTAGCAACAAGAGGAAGAACTGCACTTACAAACCTATTACACTCTCACACTAGCACACCCGCACCACTTTTACACTCACATACTTGTCCCCCTTCAACACACCTATCCCACTTCCAACACATCTATGCCACCTCTAACACACTTGCCCCTCCTCTAACACACCTGTCCCACCTCTAACACACTTGCCCCACCTCTAACACACCTGTCCCACCTCTAACACACATGTCCCACCTCTAACACACCTGTCCCACCTCTAACACACCTATCCCACTTCCAACACACCTGTCCCACCTCTAACACACTTGCCCCTCCTCTAACACATCTGTCACACCTCCAACACACCTGTCCCTCCTCTAACACACTTGCCCCTGCTCTAACACACCTGTCCCACCTCTAGCACACCTGTCCTACCTGAGAGTCTGTAGACAGGTCCAGGACACAGTGCACCACACCTTCAGCTCACGGTTATAGTCTGCTCCTGTGATCAGGAAACGCCAGAACGGCATGCTGGAAAGGAGAGGCACAAGCTCAAAACATGGGTTCCACAATGTCCACCATAGAATTTGTGTCTTTTGCTGCTAACTGATTTACAGTTGACCTTAAGTTCAGTTATGCATGATTATTATATAAATTCTTGTAAACTCATTCCAACAGAATGATTATGTAAAAATATAGCCTTTTTCTCACTTCAGTTCAGGCCATGTAGTGTCTCCACAAGTTCCTGTCTCGCATGACCGAGGACAGTTCATTACCCTCTACACCTGTGTCCTCTTCGATCAACCTTCTTCAGAGTAAAAGAAGGGTGACCATGTCTAAAGTTTACCTTTGGTGCCCAGATGAGAACCTTTTTGCAGCACATATCTACCAGAACCTTACCAAAAACCTCAGAATGGATGATGATCTCTACATTCTTTTGTCTACATGTCAAGAGCACATTCAAAAAAAGGAGTTTGCACAGGTCTTGCCACAATTCTTTTTTCCATATTTTGACACCTTTTAAAACTAACGTCTAGTACAACAGACCCTTACTTGGGGTCAGCCAGTTTGTGGTTGTCCAGGAACAGGAGACAGCTGAGGGGCTGACCGCCGTGTGGCTGCCACTTGTGCAGGCATCGTGGGGGGTCATCACTCTCCAGATAGACCTGACAAAACAGGTTGATTATTAGATACAGCTTTGAATATTATACTACCATGAAAGTCACAATCATCCTACACACTTACTACTAACTGTAGTAAAACACACATTAATAATAACAAGCATATAGCTATGCAGTAAATAACTAAACTGTCTAGACACACACAGCTGCAAGCTTTGCTGCTTTTCTAACTTGATACATGTATCTATAAACAGACAAAAAAACATATTAAATAATTTGTACTGCTACAACTTATATTATAGTTAGGGCTATTGACTCCAGGGGCAGCCATCAAACTTTCTGTGCCCCTATTTTTCGTTTTGACTCCAACCTATTTACTATTTTGTTAGATATATTCACATAACATTTACAATTCACATTATTGTATCACAATTTTCAAAGTTAAATAGACCAATAGAGTGCCTGCAGTTGGCTACAGCAATTGGATAAGGAACATTTCAGCCAGGATTCTCAGAAACTGTGCAGATACTGACAGAAGGACAATCACTGCAACACAGCACATTAATTTGGTAGTAAAGGTATTTACATTCACCTGCCAGAACTTCACGCCTCCGTCCTGGCTGGCCGTGGCAAGGACAGCTCCGTCAGGAGACAGGGAGCAGTCAGCAATGGGCTACATGAAAAAGAGAGAAAAAACAGTTTCTTATGCCTGACATTGATAGGAAAAACACTTAACAGATAAGGTATCTTGTCACTACAAGTTTTGAAGGACATCCAAAGGTCTTAATAATAATTAGGTTAATGGTTAGGTTTAGAGAACTATGGTACTGACTGACTGATTAAATGAATGGATGGATGAAGTTTATTATTGTTTCTTGCAACTACATGCTGCCCAGCCCAAACGGGCTTATAAGACACCAAGAAAAGAAAACATCATAATACAAAATGGTAGAGTCGAACTACTTGTGATTTGTTAAGAGTAAAGTGTAACAAGAACAGCAAAAACATTGTTCTTCATGAGCAGAAGGACGTGGTTGCTCACCGACTTGCTGCTGCCCTCCACAGTGATGTACCCAGAGGTGACATCCTTCACCTGGATAGTGTCTGACCCAAACTGGGAGATCACCAGCTCCACATCCCACACTTCTGTCTGTAGGGGGAACACAAGAACAACTCCAGTAAATAACATACAGTGGGACAAAACATGAATTGGAACTGTAGAAGGATGACCTCAAGCATACTGAACTCATGGCATGTCCCCTTTAGTCACTGAAATTGTGCTAACAATTACTGGTAAACCGGGATATATGATTATTACAGAACTTCTTCCACAATTTTTAAGGGCTATTCTTGAAAGATATTGGAGACCTCTCTTCCAACTGATGACGCTTAAAGTTTTGGTCATTCATGTCTTGTCACAAAGTATGCAACCCAAAATACATCAAATTTGACCTGGTACAAGTAAAAGGGAAAATACAAATTTGATGGCATAGTGAAGTATCATTCATTAATGAATAAATTTCTTATGAAAATTAATTTCTCTATCTTTGAAACATTTTAGCCTTTATTTAGGATTTACTATTTATATTTGTGCTCCCATGTGCTCACATTCTCATCATGGGTAAGTGCTAGTATCCTGCCCCTCTCCTCAGCGCTGGAAGCCACAGAGGAAGCCGTGTCGCTGGCACTGCCGTCCTCAGGGATGTACGGACACCAAACCAGACGGTGGTTATTGCTCTGTGGAGTATTCTCAGGTCGCATCACTTGTAACTTTTTGCTGTATCTGAGAAAAGTGTCATTTAAGGAGGAAACCAATAAAAATGCTATTATTTGTAACTTTATGGCTGAAATAACAAGCTTTGTCAGAAAGGAGAGGAAAGTGACCTCAATCCAGTTTTAGCTCATTGAAGAGCTAATCTCCCACTGCTCGTGACAGAGAAGACAGACGCTATGTATATACATGTAGTATTTACAGGTTCACTGTACCCTGGCTTTTCCCGACAACAGTTGACCACAGCTTAATGTCCCATTCTAAGGAATGTGACCCATTCCAATAGCATCCATGTGGGGGAACAACAACAGCCAGGATTTGAAATCCTAACCTCTTGGTCCAGTGGCAGGGCTGCTAAACAATGGACTATGCATGCTACACACGCTACATCAGAAGAGAATCACCTAACAATAACCATTTGATGTATGAAAAATATATGCATACTTTATATTCAATGTTTTTTCTCATCAAAGGACACACTTCTTGAAATGCAACAGAAAAGATACTGAATCTTCTTGTTCTCGTCATAGATCTGCCAGATGAAGAGGTTTCCCAGCTGGTCTGTACAGGCCAGGAGAGAGGAGCCGAGGTGAGCAAACCCCAGGTCTGTCACACTTCCCACAAACCCCTTCAGCAGGGTCCGCTCTGCTGTCTGTCTGTTGATCACTCGCACTACATGTGACTTGCCTGGAACAAACATACAGGTTACAATCAATACTCAAAATCTCTCCTTTTGTATGCTGCTTTATGTACTAGTACAGGTTGTGTACAGGTCTGACATATAACCATGCAAGAAGTATTACTGTAATAACCATGTTAGATAGTATTTTAACAATTGATTCACACATTCAAAAAGATGAAAACTTGGCAGCTTTGGGTACGTAATAAACATTCGGCATACATGTGCACAATCAGAAGTATAAGTTCATAAAACATAAATACAGACAATTGATGAAGACAGTATGGTGATGCACGAATGCAGATGTACTATTGATAAAGCTATCCATTTCATGATAAAAGTTTGCAGGCTGTCACACCTAAGCAACAAGGAGCCTAACTTTTTGCATTTTTGGATTCAACGTTGTTTATAATCATATATATTATAAAGCAACATTTCAGGCTACCTTTCAGTGCATATGCGATGTAAGTGTTGTTGATGGCGACCAGACTGCCCATGTAGTACTTGTGCTCCCAGTCATAGTTGGCTACCGGGATGACCTTGACTCTGCTGCTGCCGCTGGTGCTGCTGGTTCCATCAGGTGGGCTGCTGCTCAGGATGTCCACCTCACGCCCGTATATGGGCACACAGCCCAGCATATCATCACCTTGGAGGAGTCTGCAGGTGGCAAAAACTCAGATTATTAATCAAGTTGGAATTGGAGCCATAATGACTGAAGTAATAATTACTGGTCTTTGATACAGAAAATGAGATGGCAACCTGGCATGATTTTGGGTTGGGTTAGAATCAAGCTTGGCCAAGGCTCATCTTGACTGGGAAAATCGGGAAAACGAGTGAAAAGGCCAATGACAAACAGTCACTACATTGAGACAAAACCTTGAAAATCAACTTTGAACTCTTCACACATATGGAACTGTTCTTCTTTGAATATTGAACATTTCATGTCTTATTATTTTTGTCAACCTTGAACTGTACTTTTCTTTTGTGCAATATTATATCCTACCCTACATGCTAGACTGACAGAGAAATAAAGAGAAAGGAAGAGACAGAAAAATCTAACTGAAGTGTTAGTAGTAATGTCTCACATTTGCTGCCTGTCTTCAGTGAGTTGTTCTGCCTCCTGAGCGGCATCAGTCTCCTCCTCCCCAGGTTTGTCAGGTTCCTCCTCCCCTCCTCCTCCACTCGCCTTGCTGCTGCCTTCTCCCATCTCTACAGCCCCGTTCTGGGAGGTCATACTACGAGCACTGCCCGACAAGGAGGAATCTGTAATAAAACAAAACAAACTTACTCTGTACATGGTCTACAACAACGTCAAGTTATTATGTCTGAACATGTCTTCATCTACAACTGTACACAGGAAGATGTGTAAGACTAAGACTGGAGTTCAAGCGACACTAATAACTGATCCATTCGAATGGGTCTGGACCTTTTGGAGTAGTCATTAGCGTGCTGGTGTCGGAAGCTGGCTGCCCGGCTTTGGCGTGGGTTTGGTTCCCGGTCTTCTGGGAGTCATGGGTTTTCCTGTTTCTACTCACTCCTATTTGTTTCACAACTATTCTGTTAATTATTCTAATGCTATTCTAACAGGATACATGTATGTATTTTCACAGAGCACTCATTGACTACATCCCTATTAATGCATGCCATGGCATATGAATGTGCATGCCAAACTAATATACAACCTCTTCACCAGAATGTACAACTTCTCCACTCAACAGTGTGAAAATATAACCAGGGACTGGGCGTGGAGTCGTGGACACAATGCCACATGCAAATCAATTGTTAGAAGTTTATGTGCGTGTAATAGCCATTACTTCCACCACTTTTCTGGATTCAAAACAATTGGAATTGTGTGCATCTTATGACACCAGACCACACTTCAAGGTTTCAATGCACCTCTAGATGTCTCAGGTAACTTCTGCAATTGTCATGCAACAGTCTGATCCTGTTGTTATGCTGATTATGTCATTGTTAAATACGTCATTGTCGTATCATAATAAGTAGCATTGTTTCTTTGTCACTACAATAATGCACTAGTCTCATTGCTTACCAGGGTAGTACACATTTATAAATAAATTACTGTAAGTTCAACGATTTGCATTTTCCATAATTTTCGGTTTTGAAAGCGTGGGTCTTGTCCTGCATGCATCAAAATTATGCATGAAAGTTCCCTCACCCCCCACCCCAACACAAAGTATCAAAATTTTGCACTGCGACATTATCGACTTAAACTACGACAGCAAGCGATTCTTCGGGTATTCTGTAACGACCATAAGAAACAAACTCTTACCGGAGTCCCTCGTCCTCCCCACGTTCAGGATATCTTTCAAAAGCTGCGTCGCCTCCGCCGTGGAAAGACTTGAGGGAGTGCTGCTACTTTCACCACCGTCCATGACACCTCACCCGCAAGTTTATCCTATCCCTCTGCCCGGTAGGCTAAGGGGGGATCTTAAAGGGAACTAGGTTGGTAAGAACAACGCCAAACGACTGTCGTCTGGCGAAACGCTACAGGATGATGCAGCGAAACTTTGGTTATTGTGTTGGAAATCGACAGGGACTTTCCTTTTCACTCTCGTCTGGGACCACAGCGCGCGCAGGGTCAGCACGCACACACCGCAGCTAAACATCAATAACCCTCACAGACAGTTCCGGAAGAATGTGGCTCAGATTTTCTCACTATATGGAAGCAGCATTTTCTGGTATCATAACTAGTATGATTTGGCGTGTGTCAGAATGGAAACACGGTGTTAACCTCGCAAAATCAAATGCTCTCAACATTTGTGTTTCTCGGCGGTTTTTCAGTGACCTTTGACACAACAAAATGGCGGCACTCTTGAAAAATGAAAAGTTTCTCAGAGTATCAAACTCGATTGTTTCTTCCACAAGTTGCAAGCGATGGGGCAAAGTAATACACCAGGCATCATAAGAACAAGACAGACAAGACAGAAAAATGTTTAAGAAGAGAAAGGTTTGTTGTCCCTTCCGATGCTTGCTATGAGACTCACTGATCATGACTTTGGTGCACCTGGAACTTTTGGATAGATCAAGGAGGCTCCTAGTAAATAGACCTCCTTCGTAAGATTCGCCATAGACCCAATACCAGGAAGTTCTTATGATTTAAAACTACATGTACATTGTAGCCTTTCATTCATTCATTGAGTTTATTCATCCTTTTATTATACTGCACAGTGTTCTCACATGGATTACTTGATTACTAACGTTAATGGCTTATCAAAAACTTGATATATGATCATGATGAATGCTTCTCTTCATGATCTTATTCAGAATCCATCCTCTGACAAGAGTTTCCCGTCATTTGAGTCTTTCCATGAGGGGAGCCATGGGAAGGCCAGACCGGGAGGTTTTAGATCAGCTCCTTCTACCAAGAGGTGATCATACTAATCTATTACACTTTGTGCTTGATTGTCATACTGTTGTATATAAGATGTTGCATTAGTGTAAGTTGTTGGTACACGTAACACCGATCTTAATCATTACGATAGGCTTCACAAGGAGTGGTCCAAAGCTGGAGAGGGATTTGCAGGTTTCAGTCTCGATCCCGACACATATGACAGAGCCCACAGCAGCAGGAAACGGCCAAGAGTGGGATCTCAGGAACAGCCAGGCACCTCCAGTCAAGGTTAACAAGATTTTCCATCTGGTTTATTGTGAAAAGCAAGTTGATTCAAGCTAAATTAACAAGTGACAGGAGGCTAACTATCTTAGTCTTTGTAAATGGATAAGTACATGTACAAGTAATCTTTGACTTTTATTTAATTTCTTTTACCACAATCAGTATTCAAATACTCAATACATGCACTCATACAGGGAATGCAATGAGGAGTCTGGTCAACTGTTTGTATGTTCCTTGTACATGTATTTGATTTTTTGTTGTTTCAGAAAGAAATGAAGATACCTTTGAGGATATTCCCATTGAGTGGAGTGAAAGTGAGGATGAGCAAGAAGCTGACAGCTTATCAGACATTATTCCACTTTCTCCTGTGCAATCAACATCACGGGAAGAAGACAACATCATCAGCAGCTCTGACCAATCAGATGCAGGCTTACCAGCACAGCCCCGGATCAGCCAATTGGCATCCAGTACACATCAGAGCCAATCAGAATCTACACCTCCTATTTCTGAACTATCAGAAAGCACCTCACCAAGTGTTAATGCTAGTCCAAGAAACTCAACAAGTATGGCAAGACATACCATTCCTAAAGTGCAAGGAGATTCAAGAAGCAAGCAGTTTTCACATCTGAGCAGAATTCCACAATCTTGTGCAAAGGTTCAGAGTTCTGTGATACAGAAGCTGCTGTTACAGAAACCTAAAGTAACAGCAGAGGTGAGCTATTCTATTTACATGTACAGTACATGTAAATTTGACAATATTTCTCCTATGCTCATTGATAAAAGCTGAATAAACTATATAGATATATCAGACATTTTAGGCATTTAGTTTTTTTGTAATCATGCATTCATGGACAATACACTCTTTTTTTAGAATCACGGGTTAGTCACTAAGTCATAACTTAGGCCATGTTTGAGGAAATGTCATGCTGGTCTTGTTGTTTGATTGTGATACTTGATTGACATTCATTGCTTTGATGGAACACAGGATGTAGGGATCTCAGACTATGAATCTGCAAGTTCTGATGAGGCAGATGGAGGCAAGGCTGCATCACCCTTGGAGGTAAGCATGAGGGAAAACATTCTCAGATTACACCTTAGTTACAGTTCTCTTTTACAGATGTTGTATTTATTAGATTTCCTCTCTAACCATTAACTGTGTTCCATTTTAGGCAGCCACAGGTTCATCTGTGTCCATCTCAACCCCTGATCCCTCCCCAGCCAATCCCAGTGCTGCTAACAAGGGCACACCAAAGACAGGCTCTGATTGGCTGAAGAAGGTCCAATGGCAAATCAGCTCACCCAAAGAAGGAGACAATGAGGAGGAGCCTAGAGGACCGTTAGACTCGACCAGGAAAGGCAAGAAGTTTGTCAGGTAGGAGGATGCAAACCTTGATTTGAAATCTGTCCCAGGCCAGGGAGGTAAATTCTGACGGGTTATACCTGCAGCCTAGCTATTAATACTACTATAGAAAGGTGTCAATGGTACAAGTTATCCTCATTAATTTGCTATTCTTTTCTGCAGGTAAAGGTTAATGACATGACATTATTGAAGATTTGATCAGTGTATTATGTCTATTTTTAGGGGAGGGTTAGCAGAACAGCTGCAGAGACTACAGTCCAGAGAGCGTGCCTCCATTACCTTCTGGAACCACAAGGTCGCCAACTCTACATTTGACCCCTCAGGTAAGATGCTACATACTGGTAGAACATTATTCCAGCCTGGCTTTTTGCCTTTTTGAAAAGAAGAATTGTGTGGAACAATATGAAACATTTTCACATCAACTGGTCAACTTTTTCCCTTTGGTAGATCAAAAGACATGTCTGATGGTGAAGGTGCTAAGCTCGTGTGTGGAATGCAGTGTGCACATCACCAAGTGTAAAACCCTGTCTGGCCACACTCTGCTGGGCGATGCACAGTCTCCATATGTGAGTGTCCTGTTCAACAAACAGACAGCTGAACAACTTGGGCTGGAGCCGGGAAACACTGTGGCTATATATCCACCCTGGTAGGGGAAGCTTTAATGTTTTGAAGTACAGATTATAGAGATATTGTGGAGTAATGATATGTCTAAAGAAATATTTTTTATTACCAGTAACAGTTTTCAGTTACATCGAATAAGATGTACAGTCATGTAACATGTCATTGTCCTTCACAGGCAGAAGCTGAGTATTCCTGGGCAGAACTATCCATTTCTGCTGTGTACGTACTATTGTCAGACTGTCACAGAAGGCACCATAGAGGGTCAGGAGAACCTGGAAGTTGAACAGCGTGAGATTAGAGGTGGATATTTTTAACCTTATCAAACTCTGGTAATTTATCTTGCATGTATGGCCTAGGGCATTTGGGTGTCCTTAGAAAGCATAGATTCTAGGTTTTGGTAACTTCCATTTATTTCAACAGTTGCCATTTTGCATTGTGTAAACTTTTGCAGCTAAAGATGGAATGGAATATTGTCTAGTTTCAGAGTTGTTTTTGAACAATCCTGTTGGAATATCCAGTTGATGATCCCTTACAATGTTCTCACAGGCCCAGCCCCCAGTCTGGTCACCAACTTGTCCCCACAGAAAGTCCAGTCTGTTCACTCCATGTTGACCTCGACCAGGAAGTCCCTCAGGCCTTCCAATCTCTTCCCTGGCACCTCCTCAGAGGGAGAGGCCAGTACAGCAGTTGATGAGGACAGTGCAGCAGGAAAGAACAGGCTGTACCCTGTAAGAACTGGTCAGGACCGGCAGCCACCAGTCCGATCCTTCCTTGAGGTACTCACAACTTACGTATACAGAATTACCATTGTTCTACTAGAACATAGTTACACTCACAGTGGTACATACAACAAGCAATGATATTTCCTGGCAACTATTGCACAGAGACTGCACACACATGGATTATTATAAACATTGATCCATTATTGGATAGTTTCCTTGCTGATACAATTCCTCTATAATTATGTATTTCCCTGATGAATTTTTTTTCTAAAGGCAATTGAGGGGCTGGCAGGTAGAGCATCAGCAGGCTTACATGTGGTGGCCACTGTACAGAGAGTATGGTGCCAGAGTCATCAAGCTACCCTGGGACAACAGGCACTGCTACTGAGGGCAGCCAGGTCGCAGACATCAGCAGTCGAGCCCACATCAGAACACAGGTAGATATAGATGTACATTGTAGAGCTGAGTGGATTACATGTAATACTTCCATTAGATAAAAAATAACCCACTACAATTAGAAGCAACAAGATCTGCTATAACTGCAATAAATGATAAGATTGTATAATTCTGTACAAACATTGATCGCAGGTCCTTCTTACCCTCTTTAGGTGGCACTTGCTGTTAGAAGATGGCCATGGGGTGTTCTGTGAGCTGCAGGTGCCGAACGTTCTACTGCAGGAGGAGGGGTGGGCAGCATGCTTACATGGAGGGGAGGGGAAGGAATGGGTGTTCTCTGGGCTCAGAGTCACTCATCGTGCCAACAGGGGTCGGTAAGTTTCCTTTCTATGGTCAAAAATTTATGGTCATTTAGGTACAGTATTTAACATTAGGCAAGACAGTCAGAATAGACATTTTGCTACTTGTCATTACAAGCAGTTTGGTAAACACTTGGGGCATTTAAAGTGGTTTTTACAGACACTTTGTCTCCCTTCCTCAGAATGCCTACCTTGTTCAGCCTGATTGACTCAGTGTGGTCTGACAGTACAGCCAGGGAGTCCTGGGCTTCTCAACAGGACAGTGAACAATCCGAGGTATGTTGTGCAGGCATTAGGGTTAGTGTAACCCTAAATTAGAGTTAGCGTAACCCAAAATTAGGGTTTAGGTTTAGGGATAGAGAAGGGTAAGAAAGACAGAGAAAGGTTATGGAAACAGAACAGAGGGGAATAGGATGTTATAAGAGTAGTTGAGATGCGTATGGAAAAGACAGATATGCATAGGATATGTTTTAACATACCAGAGCACTAGTGTAGTGGTGTACAGTGTTGCAGTAATGTATGCTTTGGGTGCTGTTACCGTTACATCACATTCCTGTACATTTTTTTTTCCACCTCTCCGTAGAATACATATGTGGGCATCCCAACCTGCCTACCCCCAAGCTTCTGTTACCTGGTGTCGGCCAGGTCAGGTGAGAGCAGAGTGGAGCCCTCTACAGACAACCTCACCGGCAGTTTGAGGGACAAGAGTGAGAAATTAGAAGACAGTTCTGTCTCTCCTGTATACAAATCTCCACAGGTTGTAACACTCGCAGACAGTGAGGAGGTGAGAATAGGGTTTACTTTAATCACCAGTGTGTTGCAAAACATTCAGGTTGTGCTGTGGTAACTTGAAAGTTCATAATATTTCGACTAAAAATGTTGTACCAATAATTCTAGTTTTTCTGTCATGCAAATTCTTGTAACGTCTTGATGACTATATTGCTTGGTTATGATAGTGTTTTACATCATTTGATTTCTTGAAGGAAATGTGCTAATACTAGTAATAGCCTAGGCTGTATCATTGATATACAATCAATCATGTATCATGTACAGGATCCAAATACTGTCTCTTTGTCTTTCCCAGACTGCAGCAGACTCAGCCAGGATCAGCCTCTATGTTAAACTGAGATTTTGGAGATCACAGGTAAAGATTGCTGGTCCTTGTATGATCATGGCAGATACTAGTACTTGTAATTTGCTGTCATCATGAGGCACTATTTATATAGGCTCATATAATCATACAGTATTTATAAATGTATTTCATAGCCATCTGAAGACACCAGTTCCACAAGGGAGACAGGACATGTTCTATTTGTTTGGGATGGCTCAACGACAGACTCCTCCCAACCATATTCCAAAATAACAGTACGGCAGTCATGTGTCATCCCAGAACAAGTCTTAGACTTGATGAAGCAGCCTGGTGCCAACTTGTTTTTGAAGGATCTACTTTGGGAAAGAGGTTAGTATTGTTTTGAATTTCAAATCCTAATGTTATTGTCACTGGTCATGTTCATTTTGAATATTAGAAGTCATGCAGATTGAACAACTTTTGTGGTGAAAGCAGCTGAAATTTTCATTTGCAAAATGCATGTGTGTTTTTTTTGTCCACAGGTCGAGTGTTAACTGCAGATGTTTGCAGTGTTCTACACCAAGCCTGTCCAGAGGGTGTTGTTACAGAGTGGTGGCAGCAGGTCACCCCTCCAGACGTGTGGAACAGTCTGACTGCAGCTGGGACACCTGGCCTGCAAGTCATCACCTCCTCTACCATCCTCCACAGTCTGGTACAGGTGCAAGGTAGTATAATATGTTATATCATATTTATGTCGTGTGCTGTGCTTGACTTGTGTAGATTTTTTATTTCATCGAGTATTCTGTTTTGATTATTCTTATTCATCATGTCCTATGTGTAAAGTACCTTTGTAACAGGCTGTGATAACTACTGACAACGACTGCACCACATCTCATTAATTTAACACAGGGTTGAAATAATGCCATGAATTCCTTTTTGTTGTTGATGTACCATCCAGGTCAGGTACTGAGTGTGGATGAAGACACAGCATTCTCATGGCCAGAGTGTGACACCTGTGGTAACAACAAACTCATCGAACAAGAAAGGTAAAGATGCAGGTTTACTTTAACCACAACTGAAATTCCTATACCATTTGTAGTAGAAGAATGGTTTATTTTTCATAAATGATGTCCTGGTTGCACCCCTAGGGCCGAATTGTCAGGCATTCACATTACTTGTGGTGTTTTAAAACAGTCATACATTATCTGAACATAGCTGTGTCAAAGTTAAATTTGCCTCTCTTTCAACAGCTCACTACAGTGTCCAAGCTGTGACAAGACTGTGACTGAACCACTGACCAGAATGAGCCTTGAGGTGTACGTGGACTGTCCATCCCTCGAAAAGTCTGGTATTGTCAAAATTAAAGTATGTATATATTGGCCCAATAGCAGCTTTTATATGTTGCTAGATGATGTTGACAAAGGAAATGTGCTTGCCATTAATTATTGAGAACTGTAACTAGTATGTGTGATACTGTAGAAAAGGCTGTTTTTTTCTTTTCTCATCATCACACCAACAGTCTCTCTACTTGTGCCAAATGTCATTGTACACCTATACTTAAAAGTGTTTTTACATGAAGGTGAAGTGTGCACCTTGATGTTAAGAGATGGGACTTATCACAGTGTCTTCTGTGACCATTATTTGATGATAATGTTTACTGCTTTCCTTTTTGTCAGCTGTTACAGGATAGTATTCAGCAGCTTCTGTCAAATCAACAGGCTGATGATGAGGTAACATCACTATATATACACTATAGTTGAGACATTATTTGCATATTATGCAAAACACTCATTGCAGTTATGTTCTGTGCTCAAACAACCCATCTGAATGATTGCCGAATTACCTAAATGCCATTGTAGTAGTTAGTGCTAATGTGGTTTCAAAACGGTCTCATTTCCAGTTGGTGCAAGGAGCTGAAAATCAAGTTGATTTTTATCCTCTTTGGTTAGTGACATGCCAGCTTCTTAAGATTTCGCCTGGCTTCTCCTTAAACTGAAAACTGTTCCTTTTCTACCCTGCAGGGTTATGAGTTGCAGGCAGTGTTGGGGCAGGAGCTGAGGTCTGTGGACGGGTACCTGGCATCTATCAGTAGGGACCCGGCAGGGGAGAGGGTCCTCATGGTAGAGGAAATACCACAGCTACAGGATGTAGAAATGACTGCTGAATCGTGAACATGTTATGGTGACTGTGCACTTGACTCCAGGAAACTTATGAATTTGTTTCTCCATAATTTGGGGCTGCTGGTAGCTGCAGAAGTTGCCATAATAGACATAGTAATGACAAGTAGTTGACTTCACTTACATTTGACATTTTATAATAACTGTACCTGTAAATACTTAGGTACTTATTTCAGATGCAGTTATAGCCCGGCTTACATTGTGTATTGTTAGCTGTGGCAAAGAATAATTTTTAGTGAGAAACTGAAGTCTAGATTTCAGCAGTGAAGTGTTTTTATTAATGTCATGTTTTTTGTTATAGCCATCTTGCAATGCTTCAAACTTCAGAGATATATCAGTCAAATATGAGTGTAGCCTTGGAGAAAATTATTGCCTCCTTATTGGTGTCAATTGGAAACAAAAATGTCTAAAAGTTTGTGAATATAGTACATGATACATGTAAACGTACTAGTCATTACATCCAGAATTGTCAATGGTGACATGTTTTTCTTGTAAGACTGGTATTAAAAGTTGTTTCTTATGAACATATTGATGTCATTTGTGATGATTAAAATTATAGAAATACTTTGTATAGCAGTAGCAGTGGGTCGACCTAATTTCTGATGAAAAATCAAAATAGGTATTTTGCAAGCAGATATTTCCTCCTATGAATGGTTGTGCCATTTTCATCTAGAAAGTTCTGCACATCTAGAGGGAGAAGTACATGTATTTACACAATTACTGTAGACCACAGGCTAGATAAATACTGAAGCACAAAGATCAGAACTAATGACACTGTGATATTGATCTGTATTTTATTAAGCTTCATGGCCATAAGCATGCTATGTAACTTGAACAAAAGAAAAGCTTACACTTCAAGACTTGTGTTGGACAAACTGACATTAGTCTTAATTTTGGAACCAAAGGGGCAATGTATATGCTGCTTTAAACCTTCTTCATCAGTTTAGGCCACACCAATTTAATTTGTTGGTTCTCAGATTTTTTCAGAAAAAATATGAAGCGACAGGGCGAAAAAAAATAAAAATAAAAACAGGTCTAGGCATCCTATTATAGGCTTAAATGCTATGAAATGAGCCATGAAGTCAACACAAAAGGCTGGGTTAAAATTTAAACATTGAATTTTGAACTTTTGATCAAACCACTGCAATGATAGATGGGAAAACTGTAACAACTAGGAAGAAAAGGACTTTCCTCAACTGTTGGGGGCAAAACATGAGCATTTTTCAGTTGATTCAGAACCAGAATCATATTTTTTTTTTTGCAAATCAGAAAAAAATGAAGAGGCGAATCCGAGAACCAACAAATTAAATTGGTGTGGCCTTATCTGGTGATAATTTATAGGATTTCTGGCTATAGGTTTCTAATTAAGTTATTGTTTAAAAATGAAATTTAATCATAGTACATGTACATGTATTTATACATGTTTGATACGGGCAACTGTCATTAATATCCTTAAGGATTAATTGTAGCAGCTTTGGAGCCCATGTCTCAGTACGTTTTGCATAGAATCTTGCCTTCAATAAGCCATTATAACATTAGTGACTGTCAATGTTTATGTTTCATGACAGACTTTGGCATTGGCAGAGAAGAAAATGGGGATGATGCAATCATGGACACAATCAAGTGTACACATGACAAAAGTAAACAACAAAAAGGGAACTAATCTCACGAAAACAGCCCAGATTTCTCCTTGGCAAAAATTAGAAAATCAAATTTTTTAGGGTGTCACAGGAAATTTAAACACTCATTACTCCTGTTCAAACATTTGATAGCTAGCTTTTTCAGATGAACATATCATCATCATCCTGCAGCTGTATACTGGGCTTTTAATCTTACATTGTGTACTTATACTGCCAATCTTTTTCTGATTTCTTGCAGCATGTTATTCATATAAGGCAAAGTGCATCATTACAATAACATCATACTATGTATAAAAATCATAAAAAATGCGCCACTTATTAATATGCAGTTCTTTCTATAGATGAGGCACATCTCTTTTAAAGGCAGGTGCCAGAAGCAGAAGTTAGGACCTCATTGCAAACCGAGCATTTAGTTGCAGAAGGGTGATTCACAAAAGTGCATACTTGGCATTGGCGCCCACCAATATTTAATGGTTGAGCTTCTGCACCTGGGAATCGGCTTTTCCCACACTCCAGGCAAACAATGCTGCTCGTGGAGTTGATTGTAGTACAGAAGTGGCAGGACCAGTTCTTCCCTTGGCCTGGCTTTTCAGTTTGCCCATAAATGCTGTTGCTTTGACTGCCCATGTTGTTTGTGTGACATCTCACGCACAGATGAGTTGTGAGGTCATTGCTTGCATTACAATACCAACATGTCCAGTGACTGTTCTTTGTCAGGTTGCCCCCACTTTGACCGCCCATGTTGTTTGTGTGACATCTCACACACAGATGAGCTGTGAGGTCATTGCTTGCATTACAATACCAACATGTCCAGTGACTGTTCTTTGTCAGGTTGCCCCCACTTTGAACCTTGTCTGGACTGGAAGACTTGACAAGATTAGCCACCTGAGGACTTGTCTTGCCATCTGAACCAGGGAGGCCTGATGCCTCTTCTGGGCCATCAACATTATCATACAGACTGCCCCGCCTTCTCCCAGCTGGTTGTCCAAGCCCGTCTCTGAAGTTCTGTTCTCCTGGGCCGTCTGCTACATCTTCAGATGTTTTTCCTGCTGTAGGGTGGATTGATGTCTGCTGACCTTTATACAGTCTGGAGGATGACATGTCCTTTGTTAGCCAGCTACTTTCCCTGGGCAGCCGTGCTGTTTCTCCATCAGGTAATCCCGTGGGCCCAGCTGGGAAACGGTTTAGCTGAGTTGACATTGGCGTTACCTCATAACCTCTGGCAGAGTCAGTTTGAAGGTCATGCAGTATGTCCCCTCCAAAGGGGCGTGGCTGTTGAGGGGGGTTTACAGCTACCCCATATGGGGGGTGGTGGACAGGAGGAGGCTGTGGGACTGGCCCTGCTGTGTGGCCTTTGCTCAGGCTGGCTACGTCCAACAGATATCTGTTGTAGTCAGACTTGTACAGCTCTGCTCTGTATGGTACATTTTGTACACTTCCTGTTGTGTCTGGCAGGTGCGTGGTCTTGCTTGTCTGTCCCTGACTTTCTATGTCTTCTGGTCCAAAGACTTCAGCCATGCTGGCCATGATGTGCTCATCATGAGTTGTTGGGAGATGGATGTCATCTGGAGGGTACCTGATGTCAAAGGACTGTCTTATCTGTGACTCATCACCAAGCAGCAAATCCTCAGCACCATCCACCCCCAAATCATGTTTTGTTGTCCAGGATTCATCCCAGCTTCCTGGCTTCTCTCTATCCTTCTTCTCCATGTGACTAGGTGTTGTTAAGCCCTGGGCTCTTGATCCCAGACTGGAGTACCCTGAGGTACCAGTATAAGCACTCTTGGTTGATCCTCGAGTTCTTGACTGAACAGTCTTCAGCTGGGAAATATCACGGCTACTACTTCTGTCCAACTTTTCCTTTGCCACTTCTTTGCTGTCCCTGTGTCTTCCACTGCTCCCTGTGATGTCATGTGTGATCTTGGGGCTGTCTCCCTTGACATTTGAGAACTGTGGAGTGCCATCTGGCCTCATTTGTTTCCGCATGAAATTTGCACATTCTATACGGTCCCCAACCTGCAAAATTCAATGATACAAGGATCATGAGTCACTCTCATAACAAGATGAGTAAGATTATACTGCGATATTGAGACTTGATCATAGAATACATTACCAGCAGGCCCAAATGACATTCAACAGACAAATATGAAACGTATATATACCTCTGATCTGTTCTGTACAGTAGGTATATGCATGTATTTACCTAAAGTAACAAATGTACAGTCTGTCTTTACCTCAGTCTATTGCTTCTCTACACACTTTGCCATTCCCCAAGTATCTACATGTATATCACTCTGCCCTATGTTACAGTATACTAGTAGGCTGTATTTGTTATCTGTGCATCGTTTGTGACCAGGAACATGATGAAAAAAAAAACAAGTTTGTAGAACTCAGGTCATACCATGCGCTGTCTTGCCTGCACAACCTGTCTTGGTAAGAAACCTCTGTCACTCATCTCATTGTACACATCCTCCATGACCAGGGCCTCAGCCTGGCACAGGAAAAGGTCTACAGCTACAGTCAGCAACTGTACATAAAAAAAGTGGATCCAATAAAAATATACATGTCCATTAGCAAGTAGAACATGAGAAACAAATAACAGGACAAAAACACTGTAAACAGTGATCCAGAGTCAACTGTAAAATTAGCCTTGTTTATGTAGCTCAACAGGTCATCATATCAAAACAGAACATTACTTCCCCTAATTTAAACACTTCTGTTTGAGCTATCAATTTTAGTCTCAAATCTGTGCAATTTTTGCAATATAATAACACCAATATATTTCTAAAGTCTCAAGTAACCCAGCATTTTGCTACAGAGCTAGATATTGCTTTATGAATAGCTTGGAATTGTTTCTCAATTTCCACAAGGATTTACACACACTGCATTTTCTAACCTTTTCCTCTGGTGGCACCCTCTGTAGGACAAAAACATTATTTTTCTTGCTGTATCCCAGCAGTGACAACACATCCTCAGCTGAATGGGGCAACACAGCATTGACTTGGCACCAGAATACCGCTGTGTAGGTCTGAAACAATAATACAAGGATTATGAAGTTGACATTACATGTATTCATTACAGATCAGCAATCAATAAACCAAACAAATCAATTAGTATGACTATGAAGTACACGAAAACATACAGCAAATCTGCATGATTGACTGGTGATTGTATTGTCCTGCACTTTTTCCACATCTACAATGTTGTTACTTTTCTATCTCTGGATACAAATGCATGTTACATGGAATGGAACATTGTACTAGGGTGGTAAAGTCACCTACCTTGATTTTCTTAAACTCTTGACGCCAGGGATAGAGTATCAGATTTGTTCCAAATTGTTCAAGCTTTCCAAACACCTCAGCAATTTTCTTGAAATCCACTTTCCTTTCAAGTGCTGCCATAACCAAGTTATCAAATGAAACTACAACAAACTTTTCATCATGTTCAATACAGGCCAGATACTCCTTAGCAAGCCTGAGAAGGTCCTGCCTCTGTGTGACTCCATATTTGGCCTGATGAGCAGCGTTATTTGCTCCTCCTGTGGCCTCCTCGTGGATCAGATGCTGATACCGTTTCTGGACAGCACGACGCAGGTCCTCCTTCTTACGATTTGTTGTGTCCATGTTTGGTTAACTCAGTTCAAATTGCCAGGTAAAACTCGATACAAAAAGCTGTTTTTGATATCTCCCAGACCTGTGTTCATCTTATGCCCCTCTCCGCGGATGTGTACAATCACTTTACCACATATGAAATCTGCCGGCATGATGTCAGCTGGTAAAACCTGCAATGAGTCAGACGCAAATCTTGTTAGTACATGTAACTCGTAACAGCTTGTCGGAGATACTGTCAGCATTATTCAGATACCATGGTACTTTCTGGTGACAAAGGGGATTTCCATACATGGGTGTAAGTTCCTCTTTTTTTCTTATGACCCAAGAAACAAAACTTTGATGGACAAAACACAATGAGAATGACATCACACAGCGATACAATCTAGAAAGCACTTGAATGACTCAGATGAAAGAATTGTTTTTTTTATTACATGTGACTACTTGTCACTCAAACAATGTTACACAATACTGAATTCAAACAAGGGCGTTCAAAGATCAAACAATGCAGTTTCGTCAGGTTCAATGTCGATGTCCCAAATAGGCTCTATTCCCTTAATATCATTCTTATAGTTATGATATCCAGAATCTGATGTGAGTTTATTAAAAACAAACCTCCGACAAATGCAGCAAAAATCCATATGCTGGACAACAACAAACTTTACAACTCACTCAGAAAACACTATCCTACACCTGGCGCGGTCACATGACTCATATCCTAAGGATGAGGTCATAACTTGCAAATTGGTGTGTCAAGTCTCAGACATACACGACTTGCCTTGAGACAAGAAGAATCCTCTGCACTGTAGGTCTGCGGCAAAGAGAAGGAAGGAGGCCTAGGCGTGCCTGCAGGAAGCGGGAAAGTGGGAAAATTTCATGGTAAATGTCGCACCACGGAAAGTCCCGGGCTAGGGGAATCCCCTGTTCAGCTACATGTAGCTTGGGTCATGCCATCTTTCTTACTCATAGGAAGGACATTTGCCTAGTACACGTAATATATGTCGAATTACGAGTGTAAATGAAGTCCATAGACACAAAGATACTGATTATATAAATTTCTGTCCGAAAAACATAATTTTATCATATAGAAAACTCTCCTCGTACATACACATTCAAATGACTCAGCTCAAACACCCCTCAACAAGCTAAAGGCACAAAAGAGAAACTGAGAAGTCATCGAAACTACTCTCCTCTAACGAAACTAAGAAGCACGATAAAGGTGAACAAGTAGAACTACGACACATAAATGACGTAAATTGACAAATGAAATGCAAACCTTTAGGGATGATGGCCCCAATCCTGTAAAAATACAACTTGAAGTTGTGAAACAAACGGAACAACGCTTGAAAATGCTTTCGTCCAAAAAGGTTGCCACGAAACCTTTAACCTTTGCACTGTCGAACAGCCAATGACTATTAGGCGGACGATTCTATTATTACATGACACTCTGGATACGGAATATTCGAATATTTTAATAGCTTCACCACGTGTCCAAAATATCACAACCTATTTTATAAGAGCTAACTATAATTTAGCAATTTTCTTCCAAGTAACCACAATATTTATCATTTTTGCGACAAGGGAAAAACGCTGTATTCCTGGATACCCCTATTTTCTTTTTGGTATATTCTACCTGACTACCTGCGCGTTGCCAACACAAAGTCGTTTACGTCACGCAGAAGGTCCTGCGTGTTTGGTGCAGTAGATTTGCTGTTACTGTCACGCCGCAAAACACGCCAAAATGGTACGTATTCCCGGTTTAGACATTTCTGAAAGAATGCTGGATGTATGAAGATGAATATCATAGTAGTATTTTGTGGATGATTTGCTTTCACTGATGTTTTAATGGCGACAGACGTTTCCTTTTTGCTGTGGTTGAAATATGGGAGGGTCGATGTGTTACGAATGGCTTACCTCTGTTGCTAACACCGATTTGAACCTCCTTGCTAACCCTAGTACTGTAATGTTTTGGTCTTTTATGCATGAAGTATAACATTAAAGAAATCTTTAAATTGACAACTCTTCAAACTTGACAATAATGGACAATTGTTTTATTTCAAGGGCAATGAATAAATTATTCATAACAGAAGTTCACTTGTGTTTTTGTCACCATAGCCGCCCAAGAAGAAGAAGGGAAAGAAGAAGTCGGGCAAGAAGAAGTCCGCCAAGGCCAAGACCCCAACCGTTGTAGATGGGATCTCTACAGAGGAGATGACCAAAGAACAGGTATGTTGCTCCCTTATTTCACCACCTGTTACACTCTAAAACATGGATAGATATGTTCATATTTATTTTGGCCTTTGCTATAGCACAGAACAAGGAGGTTTAAGATTTTAAACCTTCTTGCACATATAAATACATGTAGTTCCTCTGACAGCAATGTTTATAGTACCTTAAAAGGTTCCCTACTAAAGGTATTCTTGTTCACAGCTTGAGGAACACATAGTGAGATTACGAGAGGAGTTAGACCGAGAACGTGAGGAGAGAAACTACTTCCAGCTGGAGCGAGACAAAGTCAACACCTTCTGGGAGATCACCAAGAGACAGTTTGAGGAGAATAAGGCAGAGCTGAGGAACAAGGACAGGGAGATGGAGGATGCAGAGGAGAGACATCAAGTGGAGATCAAGGTACAGTATGAATCCTTTTTAGAGTTGAAATTTAATTTGGTGATTCAAGATCTTTCTCCATTGGATTAAGGTTTTGCACCTTCAATTTTTGTTGTATACACATAATAAGTTTAATAGAGACATGGTTATAAGTTGTCATCTTTATTCTGTCTACAGGTTTACAAACAGAAGGTGAAGCATCTCCTGTACGAACACCAGAACAACATCTCCGAGCTGAAGGCAGAGAGCGCCGTGGCACTGAAGCTGGCTCAGGATGATCACCGTGGCAACGAGGGAGATCTGCGCTCGGAAAAACGGTCTCTGAAGGTGGAGCTAAAGGAACAGGAGCTTGCACATGAAGACATCATCAAGAACCTGAAAATTGTAAGTTACATTACTATGATGTCCGTAGAAAAAACATTTAGCAAACACAACTCAACAAAAAGGTTTTTGACATCATGAGTAACCTTTGTGTTTTGCATCATGAGTAAGGAGAGAAAGTACAAGCTCTATACTATGGTATGGAGCAACTAAGTACAAAACTGAATGCCATGATTCTTATTTGCACAGAAACATGACGAGGCCATCACAGAACTAAGGCAAGATTTCGAGCGGGAGGCTCGGGAGATCGAGGCCAAGTATGAGAAGAAGATGCGGATGTTACGAGAGGAGCTGGAACTCAGGAGAAAAACAGAGATTCACGAGATTGAGGAGAGGAAGAACGGACAAATCAACACGCTCATGAAGAACCATGAGAAGGCCTTCAGTGATATCAAGAACTACTACAACGATATCACCCTCAACAACTTGGCTCTCATTAACTCACTCAAGGTTAGACGACCTTCTAACTTATCTAAGTGTATTCATGTTACACTTCTCCGTGAATAGGAGGTAAAGTTTTTGAGCTTGCAGCAGCCACATCTATATTTCCAAGTAAATGTCCTCTATCTTTTTCTTGTGATTCTTTTCTGACCATGGATTCTTTTTGTGATTACAACAGGAGCAAGTTGAGGAGATGAAGAAGAAGGAAGAGCGAATGGAGAAACAGATGAATGAAATCATGGCAGAGAACAAGCGACTCACAGAGCCCCTGCAGAGAGCACGGGATGAAGTGGAAGACCTGCGCAAACAACTGGCCAACTATGACAAAGACAAGGCTTCACTTGCAGTGAGTATATCATGCATCGTTTCCTGCTATTTTCTGTTTGCATCTTGGATACTTTGTATGAGTCATTTAATATGGACAACTTGCAATGTGTTGTGGTTTTTCAAAACTGATGTTATTTTTGTCTCCTGTCATGCAGAGTGCCAAGGCCAGACTGAGAGTCATGGATGAAGAGATGAAGGCACTAGAATGGGAACATGAAGTGCTGAAGCAAAGATTTGCAAAGGTAAATATTGCTTTCAACTGTGTTTGTTACTGTGTTTTGTGAATCTAAATCCATGGCCATGTTAACATCTGAGCTCACTGCTTGTTGTATCTGTTTACTTTTGTACTCTCATTTACTAATGGTGATGCCATGTATTTCCAACATCAGGTTGAGGGAGAGCGGGATGAGCTGTATGGGAAGTTTGTGAAGGCCATCCACGAGGTTCAGCAGAAGTCCAACTTCAAGAACCTGCTGTTGGAGAAGAAGCTGGGTGCCCTGGCTGACACCCTGGAGAAGAAGGAGGCACAGCTGAACGAGGTTCTGTCTGCGTCCAACCTGGACCCCACTGCTCTGACCGTAGTGACCAGGAAACTGGAGGACGTTCTGGACTCCAAGAACAGCGCCATCAAGGATCTGCAGTACGAGTTGGCACGCGTCTGCAAGGTCAGTAGACTGTAGTTTTCACCTGTGATGGCAAGGGTCATAGAGAAATGACTTCATATTTGTCACCTAACATTTGGTTTTTCATTTTTTGTCATCTGTTGCATCCCTTGTAACAAAATGCCGAGAGAAACAGCATACTGTGATCTTACTATACATTCCAAATGTATGTTAATGTATGTTAATATATTCCATCTCTTTTCCACAGGCTCACAATGATCTGTTGCGAACATATGAGGCCAAGCTACGAGCGTTCGGAGTCCCAACAGAAGAGCTTGGGTTCAAACCACTGGAGAGTACAGTAGGGGGGCAAGCCTTGGGACAGGGGCCGGCTGGGCTGGTCGCTGCACCCACATGATTCAGGGCTGAACCATTGTATTCTAGTGTGGGTTGGGAATTGCAAAACATTTCATTTGTGGATAAAGGATTCTAAGTATAAAACCAATATGAGCAATTGTTTTGAATTAGAAACGTTAAAATGTTTAAAAACATGTCCTCTTTTATCACACACTAATGACATGCAGCAGTTTATTCTCTCCAATCTAGATGAAGTATGGACCATAGTATTGAAAAGTTCCCTCTGCTGTTGGATATGTACATTTTAAGTAGGAATGAGGATTTTATAGAATCCAGCATCAGAAATGTATATCAGTCAAGGATAAAAAAATTGTCCTCTCTTACAACACTTTTTTGTCTTAACATATTTCTAAAGGTGTGGTATTTTTTATGGTAGCTTGTTTGATACAATGCACATAGACTTTGATATGCAATTCTGGCAACATAACACTGTCCATCCCACCTCAACAATACCGTTTCATACTTAAGAAGAAAGTTGCACATCAAATCCGTCCACATACTTGTACCTCTAAGTAATATTTCCATGCCACAGGAAAAACATTATGAGAAAAACTGAAGGGGAATTTTTAAACCAACAAGGGGAATCAGTCACCTTTGCCGTGTCTTTATGAACCAGTTCTTTTACCAGATACATGTACTATGTACTTTGACCAAAAATGTTGTGTCTGGACCAGGGATATTCATGAGGTGAAGTCTGTGCACCAGCTGCTAGAATTCTATCCTTAGTGGTCCAAACAATATCTCATGTCTGTATATATTATGAAGTTTTGTGGATTTCTTTTGTTCAGAGAATCTAATAAAGTCACTGTTCAGAACAATGTTTGATGACCCATCTTTGTCTAAAATTTACTACCTACTAGCAGCTGCATGATATTTTTTGTTTGAGTTATCAAGTGAGTTACCAAGAGATACTATGCATTGCAGTTAGCTAGTCATCACAAAACATCTCAACCATTCACTCATCATAGACAACAGATACAACAGGAAAGTATACACCAGATATAACTTTAATATATGAAGACAATATACTCTACACCCAATACATACCATAATATAATGTATACAGTCAATTATGTGCGCATACCACTGATTAGAAGTACATGTACTATTAAATCTGTCTATCATACTTCACATTAAATGCGTACAGCTTCCTTTCGTTGATCGCAACCAAGAGAAGCTACAGATTCCCTGCTGTCAGCCAAGTACACTTCTTAGGCTGTGTGCAATTCTACAATTACTGAAGGGTTAAAGTTACAGATATTCCTGCCCATGCTGATTCAAAGACCTACAGGCTTACACATAAATACATTCTGAATCAAAATGCTAAAGTAAACAAAGTTCTACTTTGCCTTGTTAAAACCATACATACATTCAAGTTCACTCCCTTTTTAAAAGTCTTGCCAACACAAGCCTGGTGCCAGTTGGCCACTTAACCATTACTGTTAGGTACTTAGTGATACCTTTTTCCAAGGCTATTAATACTCCAGATTCTCAAGCCCCATACTCTTCTTTGACTTTTTACATGGAACCCTTATCTATTTGCATTTCTCAGGCCATATCTACACAGATGACATCAAACAGCATTTTTTCTCAGTCAATAGGTACCAGTACCATCTGCAGTACCACTTTGTACACAAACAAGCACTTTCCAACAAGTTGCCATCTTTCTTACAATAAGACACATATCAACACTGTAAACTGTGTACTGTACAACATGATGTTTTTCTTGAAGATAGTGACATAAATAGACATCACAGTAAACATGATCACAGTAAACATGAGCTTAAGATATTAACTTGATTTGCTGTTGTCTTATTAGTTATATGTGCTCTGACTATTAATAACATGATTTCTTGTGATGTTGATGGTATCTTGTGATATTTGTATGTATATATCATCATCCATGTACATGACATGTATGTTTTATCTGTAATACCCATCCGTTATAGAGTTTCTCAGCTATGCAGCTAAGCTGTACAATATATTTACTTTTAATCTACTTATAACCAAGTAGCTAACAAAGCATTTTTTACCTTGTGCCAATTCACATAACAGTTACATTTTTGCACGTCTTCTTAACATTGAAACAAAGAACAAAATAATAAACAGGTGTCACTGATAACAGTCTTTTGTAATACATTCTAGTATTGAACAAAAGAGAACCATGTTCTTTCATCATGGTTGTGTGGACTAGTAACCTCTCTTTCATATACACAAAGGTAGGGAAGATCCAAACAAACTTAAAAACTGGCCTATGTCAATATGGTTATTCATTCCACAGTTGTGTAAATTCTGTCTTCTTTTCAGTTTTGTTTTGGTACTATGTGGGTTTGGTCCCTCCACCCTTCCATACAATATGGTAGTAGCTTCATGAATCATCAAATAGAATATTGAGTAACATAAGTACAAAATGGCCTTTAGTATTTTGCATTCTAGATAGGAAACTATCAGATGTTCCTGAAATGCCTGCTCTTCACAAAGCTCTTATTGAATGAATGGGCCATGTCTGAAGCTCTGACTTTCCATTAAACAATTGTCATTGTCCTGACAGAATCCTCAAAATTCAGAAACGATAAAACATAAATAAAAAAAAAACTGCCTTAGCTTGACACATTGGCTTTCATAAAAATGGAAGAAAAGATATGACACCCCCTATATACTGTTTTTAAGAGCCATGTCCTTAAATCATTGTTCCAGCTGGTATGTTGAAAATCTCCAAATGATATGCTGGCCACACATTGCCTACACCATGAACCCTGCAGTTCTGTCAACCAAATGTCTCCGGAGAGGCGTATGTGATGTAGAGGAAGCCGTCTTCATCCTTCTCTCTCTGGTAGACCTCGGAGATGGGCGTGCAGACACTGACCATGTTGTGTTGGTTGACCAGCATGAAGAAGGCCTGGTTCGGGTTCAGCTGTAGTCTCCTCCTGCAGTGACAGGTGGATCTCAGGTTTGTATACAAAGACATAAACACAGAGACAAGACATAAACACAGAGACAAGGAACAATAGTTGCCACCCTCAACACAAACACCTATTCCAGAACAGGCTGGTTGTTCTGGAACTGAGCTCTGCAACATTCCCTGATTGAACCTTTGTGTCAATACCAACACATGTTCTCTGGGGCATCCAAGCTGGTGACATCAATGGTACTATGGTGTTACTGAAGTCAGTCTAGTACTAACGACATTATCAAGAAAATTCTGTCATGGTGTTTGAATACTAGTATGCAGTCAATGGACTATGTAAAGAACTTCTCTTGATCTATCGATTTTTCAAGTTTATATAACAACTTGTAGATACATGCATGAATAAGACTGAAGATTCACACAAGGCCATTACCTAATGATTTTAACCAGCTCGCTCATGTTGACGTGATCCGGGACTAGGAACTTGGTCTTGTCCAGCAGAGGGAGCTGTCTCTCCCCACTGTAGCGCTCAATGATCACAGGTATCTTGTCTGCATGTTCTGATCGGATCTGTTCCACATCACGAACTCTTGCAGCTAAAACAACAGTGTGTCAACAGTGTCATGTTATTATGACATTAGAGCACTGAAAGCATGACTCAGCACTCAAACCAAAGTACATGTCAGGCAGCACTAAATTAGCTAAATCAAGTTTAGCTATTATATATAAGGAATTATTGATATTGAGAAAATTGGTGCCTTCAGGTTGGCTGGTGGACGGAAATAGATCAACACAGTGTATTCACAAGTGCAACATTAGTTTATTGAGTTAAAACTTCAATAACATCATTATGACCACTCCCATGGATCACGTGATTATGACTCAGACCAAGGCCATTGCTGTACCCATATTGGTTTAATAATGTTTTCTTCTCTAAAACACCAATAACCAAATTGTCATGCGAGTAACCCCTGTTTTTGTTTACATTAATTACTGGTAGCCATATGCAAATTAATGGTAACTACATGTATATGCAAATTAATGGTAGGCATATGCAACTTGTGATTTTGGCTCTATTAAAACCACTCACCGGTCGACGTCATACCGATTGCTCATATGGGAAGGAACTTTTCATCGGCTATGGTTGTGGAGCAATTAAGGATAACGTTCACCGGTACAGATGGCACCCAATAAACAATGCAATCGAGCTAATCTTGTGAGTGATTGTTCTTGTGAGAACTGGTGTCTTTTCTGGGTCAGCATCAAGAGAATAGATTTTTTTCCCAATTAACTAATCTTTACGGTTTTCTACGTTTCGTAACCAGGAAAATGGTTAGGCAAACTGAATTAGAGGCAAATGTTGCGTGACAAAGTGATTTAGCTGAACAAATTGCGTTATGCAAGACGACAACAAAGACCCTTCCTCTAGCAGCCATGATGTTTACGTCGTGACGTAACCAGCTGGACAGCCTTGACGACGATCGCCAAATTCTACCCATTTCCTCAATTTTACACTTGGCTACTTGAGAATGTAGTGGCTTACCGAAGCTCCTTCTTTCCTTAAAGCTCTTCTCTGGTGCCATATTTGAGGATGACGATCGAGAAAAACGAGTTTAGAAGGCCAGCAGGATCATAACATCTGGAGGTTCTACTTTCGTAGATGACCAATCGGCAACTTATTTACGCTGTTCCCGGTGTTGCACGTACTCCCTAGTTGATCTAAGGTATTCCTCAACACAACGTGCTGTTTTCACTCAAAGCACCTCACTTTATATCAGCATAAATAAACTGTAAAAGATCAATATTTCTATACGTCCAGGCGACGAATAACGGTTTTTGTTAGAATTACTAAATCAAATACAAAAAGTGTCTGCAAAATGGGGAGTATGTCACAATGATACATTCTCCCTCTCAATGGATTGTGGGTATTCAACAGCCTTTGTTACACAGCGCCTCCTTGCGATGATGATGAGATATGCAGCAGTGACTGTTCTCCAAGCAGATGTAGGATTTGACCCGTTTTGCATGTGTCTTTGCGAGACTTTGATTGTCTTTCTGGTAGTGTGCTTAAAAATAAGGTTTAAAGCATTGTAAAAGTTACTCCAAGTGTTCATGACTAATACTGTTTTATTTTCTACTTTATAACTCTTCACCTTTGTCATCTTGCACATGATTAATGTTAAATACCATTCTATTTTCACAAATGTCACTTAAATTGGCCAGGTCACGTAAAGGATGTAAAACAAAAAGTATTAACATATTCATAACATTAAACATCTCCATGAAAGGAGTTTTCATTATAACTAACAATGGCTACACTTGGTTTGCCACACAAATGACCCTAGCAACGGTCAACAACCAATGGGGTAGTATCAGATTAATGGAATAAAGAAGAATAGAAAATAGATCTCTTGGCAATGTGTAACATTAGTTCTTTTAACTAAATCTGGTTCTTCCAGTCTTCAGCAGTCCCCCATCAGGAGGCTGTCATGAGTGCATGTGATTCACTGACATGGTCCCTCACATGCCTGTCCAGCACAGCAAACACATCCTTACAGCCCTGTGTCGCCAGGTCAAGCACTTTCTCCATGTTATCTGGACAAGACAAAGGGAATTTCTAATTTATTCAAGGTTTGCTGGAGCAACAAAATGAATGTATCAACTTCTTCTATATGTTTGAAGAATCATTGCATGTCTTAATTTCAGGTAGTACACACCTCAAGAGGCAACAATGTACAAATGTACATGTACTTCTGCTTCTGGTATCTTATAAATATGCACATCACTGAGAGTTGTTATTACTGAATCGAAGGGCATGCTCATTCTACCTTAAAGAGGAATCATTTGGGTACAAGTTTTAAGAAACGTCTCCACTTGATGAAGACTCAAACTCAACTCACTTTATTTAACTTCCAACTGGTCAGTTTTAGAACCCCTTCCCTTGAACAGGTACAGTATAGATCACCTGTTCGAACACGACACGGGTACATGCATTCACACATGTTCGAACAGGTGGCCGGCCCTCCCTCCAACCACCTGTTACAATGTAATTATGACATACTTCTACATACAGAAGGATTATGCCTTAATGACCACATAAAGGTGAATAACCCACCTGCATGTAATCTTGAGTTCATCTCCAGCAGGACAATCTGTTCGGATTTGGGCATCATGGCCACAGTGAGGAAAGGAGCTCCTGCTGACTCCTCCACATAACTAATGTCTAACAGTGGGGAGTCCTGGATGAAGCCTGCTGTACAGGCACAAACATAGTCCTTCATGGGGATACCTGCATCAATCACTGCTAGAGTCGCTGCATTCACACAAGCACAGTAGTTACCTCCATCTGCTTGTAGGATCTGAAAAAAAGTTTTACTGTTCACTTTTTGGATGTCACAGGTTACAGCACTGCCAATACTTAGTATGATTTGCAATGATACTTGAAGTAAGTCTTCAGCATTACTTAGGAAATGTAACTTTTACAAAAAATCTACCAGGCAAAGAACTGAAATGTTGCCATCTATCTACCATGATTAACAAGGGAGACTGCTACACAACTAAAAGAATACACTTTTCTTTGCTGCATACAATGTAATTTGCAAGTGCATTCTATACAAAATTGACAAGACAGGCAAAACACTTTGTAAAGTACAAGTAGCCTCACCTGTACATATATGTCTATCTGAGACCTGGGAAACAGTTCAGTGACAATGACAGCTTCAAACGTTTGGCGCAGGTGCATGGACATCTCCTGTGATCGTCGGTCCCCCTTTGGCCGGGATTTCCGCTCTCCTGTGCTGAAGGTGGCCATGCTGAACTGACAGTTGACAACAGCTCTGTCATGTTGGATCTTGCCTCTTCCCTTCCTCATCTGTAATATCAAAAGGGTTGCCAAAATTAAAGTGTCATTGATGTTAGAGATTCACCTGTGAGTACCCTAAGTTCAACATTATGTGAAGCTTGTGTATCAAGGTATAAAGGCTCCTAAATTCGGACCAAATAATTTTGGCCATGTGCTCGCGAGCCCCCCTCCCCACATTCTGCGCTACGCTGACCACATTACCTCGTGTGGCCCGTACACGGTGGCCAGAGCCTTGGTGTTTCCCTGCTCGATGTACGCCGATCCGTCGGCCTGTGTGAACACGCCCATACGGGCACAGACCTTCCTAAGCTCCGAGGAACGGCGCCCATCGATGCGGTAGCCTTGGTCAGAAATGATCTCGAGACCAGCCATTTTGTTGGAAGATTTGAACAACAATGGGGGGGGTGTTGTATTTCTGTAATCCGTGAAATAGTCACATTTCCATAACACATGACAAATTAAGTCACTTAATGTAGCTATTCTATATATAATTTATGACATCTATCGTTTCTTTGATGAGGGATGTGGCATGTCCATATCTTTGTTGCTTTTGTATGCATTTCAACAGGACATCCCCCTTTTCCTAAGTGGTCGATGCCGAGGTCGGAGGTTACCTGTGCACAATGCTGAAGAAGATGTCCACAAACGCCGCGATGAAGAAGCTGTTCCAGTTCGCGATTGACCGAGGCGGCACGTTCACGGACGTGTACGCGCGGTGTCCGGGAGGGAAGACCAGGGTCATGAAGCTGCTGTCCGAGGACCCTGCTAACTACCCCGATGCTCCGCGGGAGGGGATCAGGAGGATCATGGAAGAGGTGGGAGTTTAGGGGGCGTTCACCAGATTAGTAACTTTATACGTCATTACGTAAGAGGCAGAACTTTTACCATCTTCTAAAGGTACTGCTTATACAATGCATATCTTTTTCACTATTGAAGTTTTTGAGAAACGTCGCTGTTTTAGTCCTCTGTTATACTTACAGGCATGAACTTTGGCCTAGTTACGGTGACCGTCTGGAGTTAATTGCTTTAAGCAAATATGACAAAGCAGTTTTACTGTTCTGAGCTGGGACAAGGCATTTGCAAATGCATAGCTGGTATTAGAAGGATATCCTGAGAGAGAAATGTGTTGAAGATTATTGTCTCAGAACAATGTTCAGGACAATCCCAAATTAAATTATGATGTTTAATCACAGTACATCCGATCATATTAGATAAGATCAGATAACAAATAACATGTTAAGTGTTGTTCTTTATCAATGCCTCCACCTCAGCCTTAATCAATGAAGGTATGTATGAAGGCTCTAATTTTGAGCCTAGAAACCATTCATCAACTTTGTAATTGAGACATCATGTTAACTTAAATCAGAAAATATAACTGTTATTGAAAAGTAGATAACACATGTAACGTTACATTTCTTTTGTTATTCCATCAGGAAACAGGTATCCCCATGCCTGCTGACCAGCCCCTGGACCCCTCCCTGATAGGCTGGATACGTATGGGCACAACTGTGGCCACTAATGCACTCCTGGAGAGGAAAGGTGAACGCATGGCTCTGGTCATCACACAAGGCTTCCAAGACCTGCTCCACATTGGCAACCAGTCACGGCCAAACATCTTTGATCTGGTAAGAAATATGATGTCAAAGTGACATATTCATCAATACAGTGTTGTTAACACACATCATCTTATATAATTTTGAGTGTTATTTTACTTGGCAGCATCTTTAATTTATGAAAAGACTATACATTTTTAATCTATGAAAAGACTATAAACAGTCATCCATATTGCCCTGTCCATGGTGCTGAAGAGTATATCATAATGGTCTATACTAACGTAGGCTACTTCTTTGCTGTTTGAAAATATTTTGTCCCCTGATGATGTTTTGTTGAATTAGAAACTGTGACATCTGATGTTTTGACTGTGATTTAAGACAATTTTTTTTAATGACAGGAAATTGTGACTCCAGATGTTCTATATGAGGAGGTTGTGGAAGTGAAGGAGCGAGTTATCCTGGAGCAGGAGTCCTGTCAGCTGGACAAACCTGCCAACCTTCAGACTGTCACTGGGACAACAGGGGAGAAGGTCTGCTTACTGATAGTGACCACATAGTCTTCTTTCATTTGCAAAATGCTTGTATGGCTTGTATTTATTTGACAATCATGGGAAGAGCCAGAATTAGGTAAAGGGATTGTAGGACAGCCCATTGTCAGAAACTATACAATTGATTTTTCATTTATACATTTTACTCTCTATATAAATGTATTTGTCAGATGAACTTAAAGTTAGGGAAATAAACTGTAATTGTGGAAGACTGATGTTTCAGCCTCATGTGTACAGAAATTTTGTAGAGTTATGCTCTCAGGGTGTGAGTGAAAGTGACAGCTGTGTTTGTTGACAGCTGCATGTTTGGGAACAGCTGGATGAGGTACAGCTGCGTGCTGACCTACAGGCTGTCCTGGACAGGGGCATCAGGAGTCTGGCTGTCGTCCTCATGCACTCCTACACGTAAGTCAATGGGAGAGGACACTCAGGTGTTTTCATTATCATTTCAATATATAGGGAGCCTACTGCTTCCTCTGCAGCAAACTTGGCAACATTCAATTAGCGTACAAATAAAAAGCAATACAATCTTGATGTTATCTTTGATGACGGTTTTTGTGTCATTTGACTAGCCTATGAAATAGTGAAAACCTTACATTCTTCCGTGTGTAAAGTTTTGTAACCATTTCTGCTCCTAGTTTTGCAGGCCATGAACAAAAGGTGGGCCAGCTAGCCAGACAGATGGGGTTTCACCAGGTATCCCTGTCCAGTGAAGTCATGCCCATGTTCCGGATTGTGCCCAGAGGTTACACAGGTAAGGAGACTGCCAACCTGCACCAACGATGCACAATTCTAGATTTGATCCTGTGTTGCAGTGGCAGATTATTGGAACATGGCTTAGTAGCCTTCCCAACATTAACCCACACAAACAAACAAACAAACAAACACTGAAAAGACAATTTTTTTTTACCGTTATTAACTTTTTTTACAGCTTGTGCAGATGCATATTTGACTCCTCACATAAAGAGGTACCTTGCAAGTTTTGGTGGTGGTTTCCAAGGAGGCCTGGAGAAGACTCAGGTCCTGTTCATGCAGTCAGATGGAGGTCTCACCCCCATGGATAAGTGAGTTAACCCAATATTTCAGTTTTGTTGGACGTCATTTCAGATCAATACATTCATAATGACACTTATTTTGGAACAGTAACATTCAGAGTTCGAAGAAATTGTCATATGTTGTCTCTCTAACACTTCCTTTAACTCTTAAAAAATGTCCTGTGTGTTTCTGTTTCCACCATTTTGCCTTTTCCTAATGTTCCACAGATTTAATGGCTCCCATGCAATCCTGTCTGGTCCAGCTGGAGGAGTGGTCGGGTACGGCATGACCACGTTTGACCAGGAAACTCAACAACCAGTCATTGGGTTTGACATGGGGGGTAAGAAATTTTTTCATACTAGGAAACTTTGTACCTTATAAGGTGCATATAATGCAAATTTGCATGTTTTTTTCATTGACGTATCAATGCCAATATAGCGGATTTAAAGATATGTCAGATTTATTTTTGAATGTCTATTTTCCCAGGTACATCTACAGATGTGAGCAGGTATGCAGGTGAATATGAACACGTGTTTGAGACCACTACAGCTGGGGTGACTATACAAGCTCCACAGGTAAGACACATGACCTACTATACTGATTATACATTTGCTCCAGGTGAGAGATGTCATGACAACTCTTCAGCAATGTACAGAGACAAGTTTGTCTCTTTAATGTTTACTGAAAGTTTACTTATGGATCATTCTTCCTCAGCTGGACATCAACACAGTGGCAGCAGGTGGGGGCTCCAGACTGTTCTTCCGCTCAGGACTGTTTGTGGTTGGACCAGAGTCAGCAGGAGCACACCCTGGGCCTGTCTGCTATAAGAAAGGTGGGTCTTGTTCCCTGGTGTAATCTTTTTTTACTACTTTGTACTACTTTTTACTAATACATGCACATGTCTCTATATCTAGTGTCTTGTATGCTCAGTTTTCTGTGGTAGAATACAATGCTATTAAGATTTACTGACCTTCCATTTTGTGGACTACCATTAGGTGGCCCCCTGACAGTAACTGATGCAAACCTGTGTTTGGGGAGACTTCTACCAGAGTAAGTTCATACCATCTTTAATTGAAAAATCTTGTGCTGGGCATTAAATTTTCAATGCCTCTTTGATGCCAGAATTTATTCTTTTCAGTTTCAACAGGAAGATAAATTGTAAATTAATATCAGCAGACCATCTAGTGCAGCATTTTTTTATAAGCTTAATGACATTACATTGTATACTTCATTGCAGGTATTTCCCTTCAATCTTTGGGGAGAATGAAGACCAGCCATTGGATAAGCCTGCAACTATGACCGCCTTCTCAAACCTAACCCAAGAGGTAGGAAAATACCATACCCGATCTGACCTATGATTACTTGAGTGTGTCAACTTCCATCACTTCTGGTCTTTTAGATGTCTTTACTTACATTTGTCATTTGTAAAAGTGACTGCTCCTAGACCTATATCTTCTTTATTCCACCATGTCATTAACCAGAATTGTGCTCACCACCCAACCATGTTAAAGCAGCATTTGTTCTCCATCTTTGTTTTTCCAAGGTCAATGATTTCCTGGCGAGCCAACCAGATGGCATGAGGAAAGAGCCAATGACAATGGAGGAGATTGCCATGGGCTTCATACAGGTGGCCAACGAGGCCATGTGTCGACCAATCAGAGCTCTGACACAGGTGGGTACATCACGCAATGCGATACACCCTTTGGTAGAAACATGACAGAGATGATACTTGACATGCAGATACCAATTATGAATGAATATGATACTTAGTATGTAATTGTAAAGTAATGTCTGGTAGACTGTATTTGTACACCACTCTAGGCCAAAGGTCATGACACATCCCAGCATGTCCTGGCTTGTTTTGGTGGTGCAGGAGGACAGCATGCTTGTGCCATCGCCAAGTCTCTGGGAATGTCCACTGTTTTTATCCACAGGTAAGGATGTGACATTATTCTAATTTTTACTCTGGGGCACTGCTTGTCTAAAATGCACCTGTCCCTTTGCTTTCTTGTTTTCTGCCTTCCACTGTTGAATAGAATGTAAAGTTCATCACACATAGTGGTTTTCTACCAGCAGTAGGTGGAATACTTCTCAATCATGAGGCTCACAGTGTGAATTTGCCTCCCTGTTTTCTGTGCCTTCCAGATATGCTGGTATCCTGTCTGCCTACGGCATGGCTCTGGCTGATGTTGTACATGAGGCTCAGGAGCCGTGTGCTGTCAGCTACAGTAAAGGTAAACCTCACAGTTACAGAAGTGTTCAGATTCAGAACAGAATGTGTTTTTTAAATGGCAGGAAATGTACTGCCTGATATTGTATGTGTCCATCTCATGATTAGTTCTATATAATAATCTCTAATGTTGCACATCAGATAACTTCTCACAGCTGGACCAGAGAATAGCAGCACTAAGGCTAACCTGCATCAAAGAGCTCAAGACTCAGGGTTTCACAGAGTGAGTCTTTTCATTTTTTTAAGGTCAGAATTTCATGTAAGATGATATCATTGTCACATTGATGTAAATGTATTTGCACAACTGAAGGGAATAAGTGATGAAATGTGTTGCTAAGGAAATTAGGACATTCTTCTAATAGTAATATAATGTTGAATATTTATTTCATAATCCAAATGTTTGTGTTCAACAAAATTCTGTTGTATAATATTTTGGAACGTATGCTGCAGACAGAACCTCTGATGCTATTTATGTACTATATTCCCAGGGATCAGATTCAGACAGAAGCATTCCTCCACCTGAGATATGACAGGACAGACTGTGCCCTGATGTGTTCCTCCCATGGATATCCACCCAGCACTAACACATGTGGGGAGGGAGACTTTGAGAAGGCTTTCACAGACAGGTACTTTTTAAAGTTCTCTCATGTGTAATATGGTATGCCTTTGATTAGTTAGATGAAAGGAAAAGTAACCAAGAAGCCATAGGCGACAATTCTCCGTGAAGTATTATATATTGCAACGATGCGATGCCCGAAATATTTTTGCGTCAATATTCAGCGCCGTGTTTCAAGAGATTAATACCGGGAAACAATTTCTTTTCTTGTTTTGAACGCATAAACATGCATTTACGCTAATCTAGTATGATTCAGGATTACTTTTTTTTACCTGCCATGGCCAGATTATCTAAAGATGTGTGTATTGTGTGTACAATCTACAGAAAGAGAAATGTACATCAGGTCCGATCATCCGATTTTCACGTTTCGGTTTTTTGGACTCGGTTCATGAACGTATTTTGGTTTGGCTCCTGGAATGTGCGAATGTGCGAAAAAAATGACTCCCGGGACTGTCTACAGGGAACACTCGCATAATGCCCAACATTCGCGGTGTATCAGGAGAGCGCGACTGGCCAAGCAACCAGTCGGCATTAGCGCAGTCCTTGTAATTAGAAACAGTTGCACATCAATCCGGCCGAAAGCATGATTGTGTAACACAGGCTACTTCTTCCTATACCGGCTCATACTACAAGACGCGTTTACAACTAGCAAATCATAAAATTATCCGATCTACTAATATGTGTGGTTTACCAGCCCCAGACCACATCCGACCACGAGGCAAAACACATTGATGGGTTGCTCAAAAATATTGTCCATTTTTCCAAAGAGCTGCTCCACTAACACTATGGAGCGGCCCAACCCAAAAATATTGCCCATGTGTATAGTCGAGCGGCCAGCACGCTCGTTGCTAGGACGACCGGCCAGTTGCTACGTGACTAATATACACGCCGCCACTAGGTCGCCACACCCGACCAGTTTGAAATCGATAGGATTACGTCATCGGTATTAACATTAAATTTTTCCTAATGTTGACCTCTGACCACCCCACATATCAGCCCCGCCCCGACTTACTACCGGTGACATAAACGGACGACAACATTTCAACGGCATGGGGATGTTTCGAAAATAAGCATTTACTCCAATATCAAAACAGCTACGGTAAAAATAAAAAGACGTGCATCATCCCGGACATAATGCAACACCACATGCGAAATTACACAGAAATGCGACGTACGGAAGAATGCGTTTTGGCTGCGAACATCTTCCAAAAAACTTGGCATCTCTTAACCATGGGCAAAAACATCTGGAACCACTTATAAAAACCACCCCGTATCTGCATGAACTTTTACCCCCCCCGCTGCTATTCCAAACAACGCGTTTTTCTGGACCATTCCAATTCGCCTCGTAATTGTAGGGGTGCGTCTGCGATATTACATTGACCGCGAAAGCAGCAACGGCAAAAATACACATTCGTGCATCAACACGGGCATGCCCGCAGACGGCGTATAAAATTGCGTGCCGATTACACAAAGAGAACCCAGTGTTTTGACTGCGAACATGAAAAATCAGCCGATTACAACACTCCGTCCGGAGGTCCTGACCTCCTTCACGGAGTAATAATCTCCCACACTACTACACTGGTCATGACAGAGAACACCAACACTATACACATTATTTACAGTTTCATTTTACCAGAGAAATTCTCCTTGCTCTTTTTTGACAAGCACAATGAACAGTGGACCAGAGCTTAACGTCCCATCCTAAGGACTGCACATGCGACCCTTTCCAGTAGTGTGCATGTAGAGTGAGCAACATCGGCGGGGATTCAAACTCCCAACCTCTTGGTCCAGAGGCAGGGTCACAAACCACTGGACTATGCATCCTCTATAATATATATAGACCATCTGAGTGACTGACCCCTTTGTCTGTCTTCCAGGTACATGCGTGAGTTTGGGTTCACCATCCCAGGACGACCCATCAAAGTGGACGACATCCGTGTACGTGGGGTGGGTCAGACAGGGATACACGACCACCAAATGAAACGACCATCCGGTCAGACACCCAGGGTGGAACTGGTGAGACCCACATGTATGATTTTACTTGCGAGAAATAATAGTCTGAGTGTGTAGGTCATTGTGAGACTGTCTGGATCAAAAACTTGGCATTATATTTTAAAGACATTGGGATATACTATATGGCTTTCCTACAAAATGATACAGAAAAGTGACACAATAAAGGAACCAGGAAAGCGTATAGAAATGTGAAAAAAAAATTTGTCTGGAAGTAACACTGAATAGTCGGCAGAAGAGAGTTGATGAAAGGAAGGCATGATATAGTAAAAATCCTTTTTCCTTTTTTTTTAAATTTTATTGTGTTGTATACAGATCTGGGTAAAATCTTACATGTAGTGTGTATACATGTCATCCTGCAGGTGACCAAGTGTTACTTTGACAACTGTTATTATGACACCAATGTCTACCTCCTGGATGATCTGTCATGTGACCATGCCATCCACGGGCCAGCCATTCTTATTGAGAAGAACAGGTGCAAAAATTTTTATACAGTATGCTGCAAGTCTAAACTGTAATTTCCGCCACAAATATGAGTGTTACAGATCGATGTTGATAAAGTGACAGAGTAATAAACAGATGTTTGATTAAAAATGGTGGGGAGTTCTTTGTTTTAAAAAAGATTACTGTCTTCTGTTCTTATAGTACCATCATAGTGGAGCCTGACTGCAGTGCCAGCATCACTCCAGAAGGGGATGTGAAGATAGCAGTCGGTGTTGCTGAGAAGCAAAGGATAGGAACAGGGCTGGATGCAATACAGGTGATCTGCACATGTCTTCTAGCTAGATACGTTCAATTTCATAATCATCCGACATACATTTACTTTACATTAGCATTTAGAACAATTTCAATATTATTTCAATGACAAATGTATTGAATAGATGGAACTGGTTTGCAACAGTACTTTTTAAATGTTACTTACTAGTAAACAAAATTGTGTAAATTTTTCTCTGCAGCTCTCCATCTTCTCCCATCGCTTCATGAGCATTGCTGAACAAATGGGCAGGTAGGTTCTGTCAATTATGAATTTTTCAATGTTTCTTACAAAATAAATTTTATCCAGTAAACCTATTTATTTTCATAGTTTCATTATGATTTGTTCCCTGTTTTATGTAACAAATAAATCTAGCATTGCTATTTCTTAAAGTATCTATAGCAAAAACTTCTGTCATATGTAAGGTGCACCCATTAATGGAACTGACTGAAAAGCTAATGTTGGACATTTCTTCTGTGTAGAATTCTCCAAAGAACAGCAATATCCACCAACATCAAGGTAACATATCAACAGTTAATTCACTCATCTTGAGAATGAATTATTTATCATAAATAAATGACAAAAATTCTTGTTCTAATAAATGACCATATTTACAGAAAGTGCCAGACTTTTCAGCTCAGGCTGTAGACAGTCTTAAATGGCTCTTATCTATTTTATAATTTATTCATTCATTTATTTGTTTGGCTGGTGTATATACATACATTATACAGCTAAGGTTGCCCAAGTAGCGAGTAGCAAATCTTGAAAAAGTCATTAGTATTTGTGGAAGCAACCTCCTGGCACAAAACCCACAGCTCCTTACTGACCCACCACTAGGAGAGGTTGGACTTCTCCTGTGCCCTGTTTGGACCAGACGGTGGACTGGTGGCCAATGCACCGCACATCCCTGTTCACCTGGGGGCCATGCAGGAAACTGTACAGTACCAGGTCAGATGACTAAGATATGTACCTTTTTAAAGGAAAGTATTGGTGTGGTTTAAAAGCTAGTATTTACATGTAGTTCTACAGAGCTTTTACATATATGTCAGTCATCTATATTATTGAGTGGTAGCAGTAATAGTTACATGTATGTATTTATCAAAACACTATTCCACAAAATTGTTTCCACACTGCCTAATCTACAGTTGAGGCAGTTGGGAGAGGATATCCACCAAGGTGATGTCATCTTGAGTAACCACCCGTCTGCAGGAGGGAGCCATCTCCCTGACTTCACTGTTATCACACCTGTAAGTCCACTTTCAGATTTCCTGCAAAAGTTGTAATTTATTATTCAGTAAAGCATACAGATTTCTTTCCTCTCCTGGTTACATGTTCTTTAGCTATTGGAAGATCTTCCACATTACAGATTACATACTTTTCATCAGATCATGTTGTTTGGTCCTTTTTTTTTCAAAATTTGGGAAAAGTACTGAAAGTTTGTCCTCCTCAGGTTTTCTACAAAGGAGAAGAGAGACCTGTCTTCTTTGTGGCATCACGAGGACACCATGCAGACATTGGTGGTATTACACCTGGCTCCATGCCTGCACACTCCAAGTCCCTCAGTGAGGAAGGAGCAGTGTTCAAGTCCTTCAAGCTGATAGAGAATGGGAAATACATGCAGGAAGGTTTGTGTCTGAAAAGAAAATTTCGTCTAAAAGCAAAATATATGTGTTTGTGTGGGAAAGAAAGATGTTAGTCAGGATTTACAAATTTCGTCTAAAAGCAAAATATATGTGTTTGTGTGGGAAAGAAAGATGTTAGTCAGGACTTACAAATGAGTCTCTTCAAGACTATTAAAATGCTTTGATAGACCTAAACATGTGAGTCCATCCTTGCTGTCTCTACCAGCCCTGACAGAGAGGCTGATGGCCCCAGGTCTGATCCCAGGCAGCTCTGGCACCAGGAATCTCCACGACAACCTGGCCGACCTGCAGGCTCAGGTGGCAGCCAACCAGAAGGGCATCAAACTGGTGCAGGAGCTGATCGATGCTTACGGGCTGGATGTGGTACAGGCCTACATGGGTTACATACAGGTGAGTGTTTCATGAGCACTATTTGTGTATGTTCATGACATGAAATGTTTATTTTTCGTTCATGCAAACAGCCTGGCCTGGCTTCGGCTTGGAAATGTAACCTCAGCATAAGTTATGTTGTACATATGACATGTTGTGTCATGTCATTCTATCTGAAGTACATGTAACGTTACATGTAATTTCATTTCTGACCTGGAAGAGTGGCTGTCACATGTACATATGGACAGCAAAAGGAGATATTAAGCCATTAAACCATTAAATTAATCCCTTATTTTTCCAGAACAATGCTGAGGTGGCTGTGAGGGACATGTTGAAGGAGATTGCCCAGGAGACCAAGGCCAGGACTGGCACCACACAGCTGTTTGCCGAGGATCACATGGACGATGGCACTCCTCTGGTCCTGAATGTCAGCATCAATGAAGACAAGGTGGGAAGGAGAGAAGAAGACAGGAAGAGTAGAAGAATTTTCAGAAGAGACAAGAATATTCAGAAGAGAGCCACATGGGGAAAGTCACATGGGGAGAGAAACATGATAGAGGTGCAACAAAGATCATATTAGGATGGAGCAGATGAAAATAAAACACAACAGTAGAAGTGGATACTGGTAGATTACAGAATAGAGATTTAAGTCTCAGTTAAGCTTAATCAACTACTTATAGGTTACTTTCACCTTGACATATAAAAAGGTTGTTGATCATTTTTCCCTACCCTTTTAGGGAACAGCAGTGTTTGACTTCAGCGGGACTGGTCCTGAGGTGTTTGGGAATACCAACGCTCCCCGAGCCATCACCTCATCTGCACTCATCTACTGCCTCAGGTGTATGGTGGCACATGACATTCCTCTCAACCAGGTGAGACAGGTGTTCACAGCTGTGTAGTGATGTGTAGTGTAAGAGGTGTTCCTTATTGTTGTTGTTGTAAAGTTTGTTGGAAATTGCTACCCGAAGGCTAATTGCAAATAACAAGGACAAAAAACAACAACATTGAAACAGAGTACAAAATAACTACTGTACAATGAAAACAAAAATAACCTACCAAATAAAATGTAATCGCCTGAAACTTTGTCTGAAGGGTTTGACTTCTCTTTTGTAAACCATGGAAGACGTTATGTCCGACCTTTTCCAAAATGTTGTGCTCAAATCCATGCACTGAACAGCCAGATTTTCCCCATTATTGATTTTGTATCTTAACATGTTTTCTTCATTAATGGATGGGTTTTGGGGAGAATTTTGCCATATGTTAAGAAGGGCATCTCTTCAAATTGGTCAACCCATTTGTAAAATACATGTACAATTGTACCTTCAAATTGGTTTTGTCATCATGTTCTATGTACACAGGGTTGTTTGAAGCCAGTTAAGATCCAGATGCCACCCAACTGCATCCTGAACCCGTCTGACAATGCTGCAGTTGTGGGTGGAAATGTGCTGACCAGCCAGAGAGTGGTGGACGTCATCCTGAAGGCCTTCCACATCTGTGCTGCCTCACAGGTGAAGTAACTCACAGGTGGAATCTGTGCACTTTGAAAAGGATATGGTTTACTTCGTGAACCTGACTAAGGTTACATTGTTCAATTTTTTACTCATTACATTTGTATTCTGTGTATGAATGTTATGTGCATTTGCCCAATAGATACCTTTGGACAACATAGGACCATACAAAATATTAACTTGAATGCTTCTGCAGTTGTAATTGTATTGCTGTGATATGTATGTTATGGCAAGGCAATGCAAGATACAAATTGAACTATAGTACTGGCTGCTGGCAATGGCATAAAAAAGGGACAGGGCACTACCTGGCACGGTACAAAACTGATAGGGTTCTAAAGTATGTGAATCTGTCATTGTTGAGCAAGGATATATTTTGTAGATGGGAGAAGGTGTTGAAAAAGTTCAGACAATAAAGATATTTTTTCAACTGTAGACAACTCCTTTTACCTGACTGTTGCAGGGCTGCATGAATAACATTGCCTTTGGTGACCAGGATGTCGGCTACTATGAGACAGTGGCAGGTGGCCATGGGGCGGTGAGTGGTTTGGAAATGTCAAGGTGTTGTTTGTGCTTTTAAAATTCCCTCTTGATTTGCAGGGTTGCATGAATGTGACCAGCTTTGGCGAGGCTAACGCAGGATACGTGGAAACCGTGGCAGGAGGCCATGGGGCTGTGAGTTCATCATCAGTCAGCATATTGCACCAAAAATTGTCAATATCTGCCTGTCATTAAGCATTGTTTCTTTGTCACGTATATGCTGAAGTTCTGTTTTTCTTTGCAGTTTCATCCTGTGCTAGTAGAATTAGATTTGCTGCAACTTCTACACTTGCAATGTTGCATGTATGGCTGTCCATTGACTTCACCGATTTCATCATCGTCTGTCGGCTGCAGTGTAGGCAGTACTTGCTCTGAAATGCAAAATGATTTTCTGATCTGTCTGTGCTGTACTCTCCTTAACTGCTCCTCCATTGCCCATGTGTTTCATTTGTTGATACTTTATTTTCTTTTAGGTACAGTATAGTTTATGTCTTCTCTCCATGTCCTATCTACATGTCCTGTCTAAATTGTATTCTATGTAGAATTTTGACCATTTCAATACTATTTAGCTTGTCTACCAATATTCAAACAACAGAATCAGAATTTGTATGACAGTACATGTAAGACTAATTTACTGACAGGCTAAATTATAATCTATTATGGCACTAATGTCATAACTAATATCAAATCATACAAATGTCACTCTACCACCCAGGGCCCCACATGGGACGGCAGAAGCGGGGTTCATGTCCACATGACCAACACCCGGATCACTGACCCAGAAATTATGGAGAGGAGGTAAGAGACAGGCCATCAAGTATCGTAAATCTAATGATTTCAATAGTAAGCCTGTAGTATTCCAATGAATCAGAATTCCATTCAGAACTACAACTTAACCATGTTTTCAGCACTAGGGACAGTACCAATACAACAACAGAATATAACGGAGTATAGTATTCCAGTGGTTTCCATTCAGAACAACAACAGAACAACAGACTGTTAGTATTCCATAGTTTCCATTCAGAACTACACCTTAAAAATGTTTCCAGCACTAGGGACAGTACCAATATAACCATAGAACCTTACAAACAGTAGTATTCCAGTGGTTTCTATTCAGAACAACAACAGAATGTAACAGACTGTACTTTTCTAGTGATTTCCATTCAGAACTACACTTTAACCACATTTTCAGCACTAGGGACAGTACCAGTACAACCCTAGACTATTACAAACTGAAGTATTCCATGGGTTTCCATTCAGAACAACAACAGAATATAACAGAATGTACTTTTGTAGTGATTTCCATTCAGAACTATACCTTAACCACATTTCCAGCACTAAGGACAGTACCAATATAACCCTAAAACATTACAAACTGTAGTATTCCATGGGTTTTCATTCAGAACAACCACAGAATATAACAGATGTGGTTTTCCAGAGGTTGGAGACAAAAAGTACTTTGTAGTGTAGTTTCATCTAAAATCTGTCTTGTCCCTCCCTAAGGTACCCAGTGATCTTGAGAAGATTCCACCTGAACCATGGGACAGGGGGGAAGGGTCAGTACTGTGGAGGGGATGGTGTACTGAGGGAACTCCTGTTCAGAAGGCCAGTCATGTTCACTATCCTGAGTGAGAGAAGGGCCTTCCAGCCATATGGCCTTAACGGTAAGGGGGACATTTTAAAGGAGACATCCATGATTTCTGGGGTGTTGCCCAATCTGACTTTTAATGTTATCTTTACGAAAAAAGGTATCCTTGCACATTGTACTTATGTTGTACTAAATGATGGAAATGTCACAATCATGACATTTAACCTAACCATAGAATAATAATAGGATGCATTTTGTTCTTGTTCCTGCTGTAATCTTGTTGCCTGGATCATAAACACCAGGAGGAGAGCCAGGAGCCAGGGGGATGAACCTGGTTATCTACAGGGACGGGAGAGTTGTCAACCTGGGGGGCAAATCAAGTGTCAGCATGCAACCAGGGGTAAGTGGGATTTCTTTCTAGGATAAACTAAAGGCATTTTTACCTGCAACACCTATGTTTACTTCAAACGCAGGTGATATGGATAAACATGTCTTCAAGTACCTTCGACATGTCAGCGGTCCCCAGGAAATATTAATAGGCATTTCAAAAGGGTCATGTAAAGATCTTTAAGATTCCATTTATATAAGTGACTACAACTATCGGTATGGTTCTAAAAAATGAGAACAACATTTTTCAGTTGTTTGACAATCACATTTTTTTTTCTGCCAAAGGACTGTTTCCAGCTGCAGTCCCCAGGGGGTGGGGGGTATGGTGACCCTGCCCTGAGGGACCCTGGGGAGCCTACAGCCAAACGCCGCAAGAGAGACGAGGTGGCCAGCCACCACTACCAGCAGAGGGGCAGTGTGTACGCCTACAAACTCACTCAGGAGTCAGCATAGTATACATGTTATAGGGCTTAACTTGGTGTAGGTCACATGACATGGTGTAGGTCACTTTAACAGGGTGGAAGAAATCCTGTATAGTCTATGATAGGTGAAAGGTGCCAACTGAAATTCAAAGAGCAGTTGTAGACCAGGAGGTCTACGTTGACTCCAAAAAAAGCAGCAAACATGTGGTGACAATCAGCACTTTATTATATATACCAATAGCATCAGTGTATCCAAATACATGTACCCAATTTTTTAATACAAATGAAATATTGCAAATGCTGCATTGTCGTAGCACAGTCATCTTTGGAGGTGTGCATTATCCATTACTCTGGTATTTCATAACTTAGTGATAAGCATAACACCATAACACAACAACCTGTAATATGCATAACACTTCTGTACAATGTGTTATGTATTATACGTCACTAATCTTACAACATATAACAAGTTCCCAACATCTCAGGGTTAACTGCTTACAGGCTTATTGATTTGGTCCCTTTTTCAGTTGAAACGATTTTGGGTTAAAACTCAACATTAACATGTTAACTGATGGAACCATGTTCACTAGTTTATCTACATCCTTATGTCAGTAGGTATACAGAGGTATTGCTTATATAATGGAATTCAGGCAAATATAAACTTATTATTGTCAAAATTCTGTAAGGTAGCAAAGATACTGTCATCGAAGGTACTAATAAACGTATATACATAAATAAATGTTTAACCTAATAGCTCCTTCAAGAAGTTGGACTTTTAGCAGATCTAATGTTACATGCTAGTCTCATTCATAGAACTGCCACAACCCCATTGAATTTCCCCCAAACCTTTACCCCAAACCTCTAGCTACAATGCTTATAGCAGCACCAGGCTGCCTTCACTGCCACCACACTACAATCCTTCCCTAGGCGTTTAAACAGTGACGTTCCTTCACACAGTGTCAGGTTGCATGTCCTCTGCCCCATCAGTAGTAGACTTGCTGCTGGTAGAGATGGTGTCAGCCTTGTACCCCTTGTTCCTGTAGGTGTAGGTGTTGTAGTTGTTGCTGCTCCGCATGGTGGCGCTGCTGTGACTGGCTGTGGTGCCGTTCATCATCATCTTGCCGCCGTTCTGGTGAGGGTAGGGGGCCTTGACTCCGTTTGGTTTTGACTTTCTGCCGATTGCTGCACAACAGAAAAAAATGGAGTTGACAACCCACCAGAGGAAGCAAGCAGCCTGAGAGTGGCGTGTACTATAGTCCGCTTAATAGCCCCTTTAATAACTAACATGTCATCAGTACTTTCAAACCTTTGCTCGTTCTGTAGTATGGGGATTGCCCCCCCTACTAATAGTATAGTGCCTTCTACCCGTCCCTTACCTGGCGTGCTGCCCGGAGTGCGCAGGTTACTGTTGGAGTCCATGGAGCGGCTGACCATCACCTCGCTGAAGCTGTACTGGCGGTTGAAGCAGGCGGCGCACAGGAAGAACCAGCGGTCACGCACCTCCTTCTGACGCACGCAGAAGAAGATGAAGATCAAGAAACCCTGGAACGGAAGTCAAATTTACGTTAGATATCAGAAATACCTCACAAGGCTGCATAAGCATCTGGATTATATTCTGAGAATAGAAAAGTATAGATAGGGCATTTAATTTCATGAAAATTACACGTTTTTACCTGCAGAGAGTTGAAGATACAGAACAGGTAAGCGAAGACGGTCCTGGCGCCGGAGATAGCCAGGAAGCCGAAGGCCCAGGTGAGGCCGAGCACCACGAAGATCGCGACCGCCACTCGGAAACGTTGGAGAGTCTCCTTGTGTCTCGGCGTTGGGGACCCGGTAACCTTTTTGGACTTCCGGAGGGTGATGGCAGACTTCGTTCTGTGAAGAGACAAGTTCGTGTCATGGTTTAGAAACAATGACATATTTTCCAAACTGCTGAGAAATTACTAGTAACTCACATGCATCCCCGAACCTGTGGCAACATTACAACGGTTTTAAATCTATCGCGTGGTACTTTACCTTTTGCAGTAAAGTTCTTTAACGATGAGTATGAAGACCACCAGGTTGAAGAGGACGATCAGACCGGCCGGCAGCATGAACGCGTAGTACAAGGGCGTAAGCGCCATCCAGCAGCTGGGAAACAAAGTACAGGCATTGATACTCAAGATTGTGATTAATGGACAAGTAATAAGGCATATTTACAGACGAAGAAATGATACAGACGATAACATTAAGTAAAGAAAGACTTACTACTTGTCTCCACCACGATAATGGTCCACGTCCACAGCTAGGGTCACTACCACAATAATTAGGGGTACACCTGTCAAAAAAGGTAGAAGGAACATTGGGATTAGAAAACTACACGTCTGGAAAATGCTTGAACCATATTGGAACTGAGATTGAAGACTGAAACAACTACCATGTCGTGCGATGCAACAACTTCACATCTGGACATGAGGAATCGACTGAGAAGCTTGACATGTTTTCTCACCCCATGCCACGAGTGACACCTTGAGGACGAATCTTGAGATGTGCGCGGACATGACCTTGACGAAGGCCATGTACATGGAGAAGGCTTCCACCGCCATCCACATCATCCCGGCCAGGAGGAAGTAGTGCAGACAGGCGGCCACGGCGATGCACCCCGCGGAGGGATCCACGCGGTCGATCCCGGCCAGGAAGGTGATGAGGACGCCCAGGAGCGCGATGGACAGCTGGATCAGGATGATCTGCGGGTTAGAGCTCCGAAAACGCCTGGAGATGTGCGGTTAAGACAATGATATCGTTACAATACAGTCTATACAGACATGTCGCAATTACAAGTACATGCTTCCTGCTTTGCTGGTGTCTGATCGAAGTTCAGTTTCAGTCTGGTGTTTTGTATTCAACGGTCTAACATAGAATAACTTGTTATGCTGAGACATGGTATATCTCATGTAACATTACATATATTGCAATCGAGGTAGAACACAGTTACCTGAAGACTGCTGCCGTCAGCAGGGTAAAACTCAGCCCGGCGATGGAGAGACTACAGCCGATCTTACTGATGATGTCAAGAGCGAACACGTCAGCAGCCGACAGCGGGTCGCCCTGGCCGTAGATGTCCTGCAACGGGAACGTCACGAGTAAGTACTGTTTTCATCGGTTGAGAACATTTTTTGTTTGTTTGTTTGTTTGTTTGTTTGTTTTTTGCTGAATGGAATTTTTGCTACTGGACGAACGTTTCAATCGAGTTCGAAGTGTTGCTTGCAAGTACGAAGTGTGGGCCCTAATTTAAAGCAAGTTATGGTGTGCGTGGCAAAACTGGAAGTCGTTGCCATTTTGTAATAGGAATAGGCTGAGCAGTGTTATGGTCACAAATGAGGAACACATACCATGAGGACAGCAAAGTTGGTGAGGTGATCACAGTAGCAGACGACTCTGCCCTCCTCCGTCCTGTTCTGCCAGCACCCCTCGGTAGACCAGCCGCCCTTACCGAGCGACAAGCCGAAGTCCCAGTACACACACTCCGTGTTGTTCGTATGTTGGTCAGTCTGGGACAAGGACATAATAGAAAAGTACGAAGAAAAGTGAGAAATCATAAAATTTACCATAAAAAAACCCCATAAAAGTTGTGATTGAATAGAAACGGAATAATCTTTGAACTATGGAGAATCATCTCACCACGATGGGTTTGAAGCTGGTCTGTATGGGAATGGCCAGATCCCGGACAGACAGGCCAGCCACACTGCTGGCCACAACCCGGCTGTTCACGGCACGGCGGTATCCTGCTGTGTCTTGGTTGTCCTCGGTGTGCTCTGCTGTCGTTTGGAACAGCCTGCTGTTCTGGAAGATCGTGAAGGTCAGCCTCACGATGTCACCTGTACAATAAAGTTCTTACGTCGTTATTTCGTCGCAAATGTGGTTACGCAAATTCACTGAACCCCAGAAGTATTTAGTAAAGATACAAATGCTAACACTTAAGTTTGGAAGGAAGATCTATGTCAGTTTGTTTACAACTCACGCTCGGGTCGGTTGGGTAAAGTGTTGAGATAGTCCACGAGATCAGGAGGGATGTGAATCGCTGCGTCCACCTCTCCTATGTGAACGTTGTCCGCGCCGGCGACGCCCTCTACCGACGCCTCTGTGAAGGACCCGTCCTGTCCAGCTGAGAGGGCCAGGGCCAAAAATCCGTGTCCGGGAAAAGTCTGAGTCAAGTTGATATCTAGAACCTGTGGACAACACATGTTTTATCAACCCCGCAAGACATTTGCTGAATACGTCCTACTGCCCGAACAACTGCAATGTGGAACTATCAAATCTTTAACCATTCAGCGAATTGAACAATGTACATGGCAGTTTCCACTGAGATATACTCATAGATCTATGAGTGAATGCCTGTACCTGCATGCATAGGTTCGACTCGACCATGGTCAGTGACTGGTCCGGGTCGGATGGAGTCACGCGATTGGATAGGGTCTCCAGTGTGTTCAGGATCCTGTCAGGAATATAAAAACAATGAAGACATTGTTATGGACACCCTTTATCCAGTCGTCCAAAAGTATACAAAGGAGCTTCTGTGGTGGATTGTGCATGTAAAACCATACGAGTATATGAATGGCCTCCGTGTCTTTTTGTCTGAAAGAGAGTGTAGACATCAGATAGAGGTTCACTACATGATGTGTATGTTGCACAGACGTCTATTGACCCACCTGTTGGTGACGTTATCCACGACGTGCCCTTCTATCAGTGTCTCCGTGTTGACGTTCATCAGCTGACTGATGCTGGTCATCACAGACTGCCCTACCTACACAACACAGTTTAGAGGATATCATCCTAACACATAAACCTCGAATAGAACCAACTTCTCCTTTTTTAAATAAACTACAATGCAACCGTTACGGAAAAGCACATTTAAAGTAAGCAATATAACCATACCTCCTCAGAAACTGTGTCATTTGTATTTACAACTGCCTCTAACACCTCAGCCGTGTGGATGACGTCATGAATGTAAAGATCCTGTGGAGTCATTGTGAAGATCTGAACTGTACTGGCCACTTCCTCCACGTTCAGATGTGTCACGGGTCTCTGTTGAAACAATAAGAACCTTAATAAGAGGCAAGTATCTGCATCTTACGTACGAACGTATATAGCTACGTTAGTATTGGCTGGGATAAAACAATACATTGCATTGTCTCTCTGTTTGCATTTACAGCTAATCTTCAGTGCGGGCTTGGCCAAATTGACATGTAGTGATTGACTAGCAAAACGGTTGCTTCTACCTTGGGGCCAGCTTAGAGTCTTCGCATGATGCCAAATTACATGTAGTTCAACAAATGTACACCTGTTAGTTAAATGCAGTGCTTACATTGCTAATAACGCGTAACTGATTTTTATTCCAACATGTAATGACAAGACATGGCACACTCTGTTACCTGTGCGAGCTCCTCCAGTCCGATATCACAGCTGATAGGTACCGGGCGTCCCCACGTCCCGTCCCGCCTACATCGCCTTCGGCCTCGGCGGCGACCAGCTGAGAAAAGGATATAACGTACGTTTCATTTGGTCACTAGTCATACTGAGCATGCAATAAAGAAACTTCAGAGGAAAAAGTAATGCCATGTTTCTGCAGTAAAATGTCCACTGGGGTTACTTATCTAAAATGGTGGAAAGGAACACAAACTGTCCCGAGGAGTTATGTAGTTAATGTTTGTGTCGAAAGTTGTCTGGCAGAAATTTCACCAAACTCACCATTCTCAGACCATGAAGGGCATCTCTCTATGGAGTAAGCATTTCTTCCCAATGTAGTCTCAGGCCACGTGAGGGTTAGGGTGAGACTGTCCCCCCGTCGTCTGTCACCCAGGGAAAGCTCACGTTGTCCCGGTGGATCACTGTAACGTCAGGAGGGCAGGCCACGGGCGGGGGTTTTGTTGATTGGGGTTTGTCAGTTGACGGAATACTCGTTTTGGACAAATTATGTAGCATGGAGGTTGTATGGATACTCTGGTTTGTGGGAAGTGATGTGGAGGAAAGAGGTGTAACTGTTGGTGTAATATCTGTGTGTGATGAGTTACTAGTGAGGGCAGAAGGCGTTGTTATTTTGGAGATGTTGTATTCGAATTCTGTAGTAGTTTGATGGGTAAAGACGGACACTGCTGGATCGCTGGTTTTGTTAGAGGGCGTTATAGGGGTGATTGATGAAGAATTTGTTGCTGAAGTAACGTTAACCCCTCCAGAGCCTTCTTCTGGTACGGTGTGGTGTGGCGGCGTAGACCAATGCACGCCACTGGTTGATAATAACGTAGTCGCCGCATCAGCTTGGCTGGTGGTGAGAGCGCCCGGTGTTGAAGGGATCACAGGTGGTCTCAGTAGTGGGCGGTGGAACTGTAGTCGTGGGTAAAGTAGTAGGCAAAGGAACTGTCGTCTGATCTACCTCAATCAGACGTATGGTCACCTGTAGAGTTCAAGAATATGTCGTTGTTTGTTACTTACATGTGCAAAGACTCATAAACTCACTGCGCGAAACACAGAGGACGAGCAGAATATGTATGTGTAAATAACTGTGATATATTGAATCCCACTTCTGCCACCAGCTGTGATGACGTACCAAATACGGTGTGGTACGAGGCAGCTGAGCTGTAAATAATGTCCTTCGTTGCCTTTACTGAGTTGTTTGCAGACTTTACATGGCAAATTCGCTCAACATTAGAATCAATATAATCCTAAGAACGCATCCGGTATCATACGCTAGCTACCCTAATTGGAACTAATGGGCTAGTCGGGTTGCTTTAGCAGTGACGACATTACCGGAGTAAGTACTTACATGGCATTATCAAAGGACCATTTAGGACATTGGACATTTGTTGTTATGTACAAAACATTCCTCTGGCGATTACGGAGAGCAGGTTGAAAGATTGCTGGTCGATATTGTATAATATGTTTTGTAGAGGTCAAATGGCGTGCAGTAGGCCATGGATTAATCTTCACTGAAGTTCAAATCACGGCCAATCGGTTATAGTTCAAATCTCACCCCACCGGTAAGGCCTTACTAAGGGTTGTAGTTTTCATTCAAGTAATGCTTTTAAGTCGTTTGTCCTGTGTCGGAGAGCTATCAGTCGAGTACATTAAAGAACACGCCACATTACCCATTTATTTTAATGCAATTCCTGATGCCACTTGAGTTAGCGTCGAATGGCAGTGATTTGAACCCCCTGCCTGGCAGTCTCATTTACACAACTGTAAACTCAAACCCGAGCTAGTAGGGGGGGGGGGATACAGTGCAATAATGATTGCAAATATAAAACACACAGATATCGTGTTCTACCTCCAACCATGCCAAACCATAAACAGATCCTAAATTGCAAGGCCAACTACATCTCAATGACTGTGGACGGAAGTTCACGTCCACTTGCCGTGAAATTTATGTCAAGACAATTGACGTCACAACAACGCACTTGAATGAAGACGGGTGTAAATGTTAGTGAATGTTACTACAGTGAATCGAATTCCTTCAGCAGTAGTAATCGAATACTATGTATATGGCATGGATATGGATGGCATAGACGTCATCAACAATATTGACTCTCACTTCGCCTATCTATTCTTTCACCTCAGGCAAAACTATTTCAATATCGATGTTTTTCTGCTCTATCTAGACCGTGGGAGCGGGCAGTTGCGTTATGGAAGTCTGATAAATATGTTGTTTGATTTTTTATGAGCTCCTGTCAAATTACGTTTGCGAAGCAGGACTTTGATATACGCACAATGTGTGGTGTCTGTAGCAACCTACAAACACGCCAGCAATAAGGCAGTTAAACGGCCATATCAATGTGATGAATTTTTGGAATATGTTTGGTTAAGGTTGATGACTCACTTTGATGATTACGTTTCAAGTGAGCTACAAAGTCTCTACGGATAATTCTACTAAAACTAATAAGGACTCTATTGATGTTTTATTGAGCTGGAACAATAATAAACTATATATTATACCTTCAACATTTTAATTGGAAATCGACGTGATATAGCTGTACGTGGTAACAGTTATAGTGGAGGGCTTACGATGGCGTCCTTCCTTCGAAACAAACTTTCTTTATTAAAAAAACAAACAAACAAACAAACAAACAAACACCAAACAAATAAGCAGAAGACTAACCTGTCGAATGCTAGCCATTCCCTCAAATCCAACTTCCGTTGCTAACACATTGAGGTAGAAGGTGTGGGGCATGGCGTCATAGTTGAGCGGCCTGACCACAGTCATGGCTCCGGTGCTGTCGTGGAGGGAGAAGGGCGAAGACCCCCCTCCCACGAAACTGTAGGTGACTGGCAAGTCCGCAAACGACTTGGCTTGGACTGTGAGGACTCTGAGGAAGAAAAGAAAGATGAACAGTAAGGTTTACATTCTGCTCTTGGGAGCAAAGAGTATTGTACTGCAGAATTTGGTTTGCTTCTGTCTAGTTACCGGACACACAAGTCTGATTCTTCTTTTGTTTGTCCTTTGTGCATAGTGATCTGTGTCTTATTTTACGGGCCATGTACCAGAGGCAAAGGTGAAGCAACAGGTGGATGATTGGTAAATCTTATCTTCCTAGCTGCGACACCTGTTCTTTGGTATTCTATCACCTCATTTTATTGGGGATGTCAAGCATCATAAACCAATGATTCTTATCTTTGCTCTTTTTATTTGATCGGGAACCTGGTGAAGGTTTGTGAGGCCAATCGAAGTACCTCCTCTACATTAGATTGAATGTATTGTCTTACATGGTGCCCACTGGTTGGTTCTCGTACACGTCCACTGTGTACTGCTGCTGGTAGAACTGTGGAGGCCGCCTGCCGGCCAGGATGGACACGGTAACCCTGGGGCTCTGGTTCCCGGCCGTGTCCTGGGCCATCACCGTGATGTCATACTCCTGATCCGCGACCAGCGGACGGCCCCGTGTGGTGATGGTGCCGTTGGCGGCGTCTAGCTGGAAGTATTGACTCCTTCCTGTTGATTGATATATATATATATAAGTCGGTACAGAACACACTTATAATACTAAAGGCCCCAATAACTTAAAAGTTGGGACTTGGCAACTCTTTACTTGTACGTACAGCACTATCTCCCTCGGAAGAAACAAACACAAAATTGCACAAATAGGCAAACATTACCAATTCTGATAGGCAGTCGTGTAACCATAAAAAAGGCAATCAAACGCGTATGGCTTTCAGACGACACAGTTCCCACATTCACACTTAATGTCAAGGAGAACAAGCTTATCACAGACGTGCTCACAATAGACGACAGGAATCAATTTTGTTAACACAGTTCTAGATGGCATGGAAACATATACGTTACAGTTGGGCCTTAAATTGGGATCTGTTTGGGGTACCGACGTTCTGTAGTACATGTACCTGCCATCTCGTAATACGAGAAGACGTTGTTAGGGTACAGGTCCGCGTCGTGCGCCGTTAGCCGGTAGACAAGTGTACCGGGCGGGGAGCCGGGAGTAACCGCCGCCAAGTACGGGTACGGCTCCATGGTCCACTCGGGGGCACAGTCATTCTCGTCTGTGATGTTCAGGCACACACTTACGAACTGGGGTTCGACTGGAATATATACACAACAACGTGTCACATTTAGGATTCTTCCATCATGTTGCCTGGTAGCTTACTTCCACAGAAGTTTATAAACAATCTTTAACATGTATATTTGTACGGCTGCATGGTCCACTCGGGGGCACAGTCATTCTCGTCTGTGATGTTCAGGCACACACTTACGAACTGGGGTTCGGCTGGAATAAACAGTAACATCAACATTAGGATCCTTCCGTATATCTTTCCTGGTAGTTTACGTACTTCTAGAAAGAGTTTATAAACGGTATATATTGCAGACATGCTGTAAGTGATTTTCCATATATCTGCGTCATGGTGGCTTTTAGTCCAACTTCCTGTACGTAGCTTTACCCATCACTGTCAGAGGCGGGTATATTTCGTTGAGAGGTCTAAAGCATATTTTATGGCTAGTCATGTTCTCACCGTCTACAGTAGAGTAATCCGTGATGAAGGCGTCTATCTGTACCCAGTCCCTCTCCTCACGGTCCAGCCGTCCTATGGCAATCACCTATAGACAGCCACGGAGAGGCATGTTAAACGGCCCTCTTTACACGTTCTTAGGTTTGACAGGATACACATGTACACTTAGGCTCACACTAGTACTCATTCAATGTTTCTCAGACACAAGCAAATAAACACTAGGCAGAATTGCGTCAAGTTAAGCTTAAGAGATCTACAACAACGGCTCACAGATAAGTACACTCAAGAGGTTACATTTTAAGATAGCATCGCATATTTGGATATGCACTTGACTAGAAGGTAGCTCTGGCATACTAGTTTTCTACTTATAGGCTTGCTCAGTGTCAGAAAATCTCTGCCGAGAGTTAAAAGAATTAGAGTTTCCCGACCTGTCCACTGTCTGTGTCCACCCTGACGCCCCAGTCCTCCAGCACGGCCTCCTGAGGAGACACCACGGTGACGTTACTGACGAAGGACGGCAGGCGGAAGACGTAAATCTCCGAGCCGACAGGCGTGCCCTCGGAGACCGCCACCACTTCACACTCGCTCGCTGGCGCGGACAGGGACGACTTTTCGTCTAGTCCTCTTGTCACATCCACAGCTGTGCATTTAAAAAAATGTACATACTAAGGTTTTATCGTTGGTTTATCTATTCACATACATGTATAACACATTCTAAGACTGCATTGCAGTCAACAAATATGGTTGACTGAATTACGTGATCGTAAACTCTACAGATACAAACAGCTGATAAAGTACAACTAACAAAAAAATTGTTAATTGTTAATTAATTTGAAAATTGGTGTAAGATATTAGGAGGACTTAAAAGACAAAAGTGTGACAAGGAAGGGAGCATTATGTATTAGTCATTAGTCCCATTAATCTACGTAATCTTATCATGTAACTTCAGCTCCTGTGTTTTAAGTGACTTCGATAGAGCTGGCTATCTGATCTAACAATGAAACAAGTGTAATGAGGATCATAATGATAAAGTCCTCAACCGAAAACTGACATTAGCCAAGAGAAAAGTACGTGCTGTTGTTACACAGTACTACGGGTGTCTAGGACTATTCGTAGGTGATATATCGGTTCTTAATGTCAAACTTTTTCACTAACACACAGGTTGAAGTTTGTAGTAATTCCGAACTCACTGGTGACAGTAAAAATGTAGAATAGTTGTCATTTAAGCGTATCTAACATAATCCTAACGTAACGTGAGGCATTAAGTCAGAAAGGACTCTGGTATCTGGCACATGCTGCTGCCGTTTCTGTGCTGAGTGTTACATAAAAACAGAATATTTCATTTCCAGTTCATACGGATGGGGTTCGCGTACCGTAGCAGTGAGGCGGATTGGGTTGGTGTTAAATCCGAACTACCGGAAAGCTACTGAGAGGACCATGTTGTAGAACCATTAAATGTTATACTCAAGACAATACGAGAAGTAATGTAAAGGAAGGACTTACCGACAATCACGATCAACAGCACGGGCAAAACGCACAGAGGGCCCCGCATTGTGTTGAAGAGCTCGTCAGAATGTCTCCTGTCTTTGTAATGTGTACAGCCGCGTTGTTATGGCACCAGCGTGGAACGAATTACAAAATCTCCAAGTTTTTTCTACCCCCAATGACTTAGTCAAAGAAAAGTGCCGCTTTTCACATAATATATCTTTGTCCAAAGGTCGGCATTCCTTGGGCTCCCTGTGGCTGGATCTACCCTTGAAAACCAACGTTAACTCAGTGGTACAAGGTGGCTACCCCATGTACAAAGGAACCGTCAAACAGTCGACTACCAACTGACACCTGACTTCAGTAGCCGCGGCCGCCGGGAAATTTAGAGACAAGCTAACAGTGACTAAAGCTAATAACCAATTCCTTGTCGACGCAACTCAGGGGACGGTTCATTTACCAAGTGCTGCTGTGTCCATGCATGCACGATCGCCAGTTCAGAGACGTTACGCTGTTCTCTCTCTTTTCTCCGTCCCTTATTGAACAAAAAAATAACGTCACCTTAAACCCGAGCTTTGGAAACTTTTCTGTTAAACGTCTGTGGCCAGGCACCGTGGTCCCACACCCACATTACAAACGGAACTCCCGATTCCGGTCATCCAAATGGCACGCAGCAACCTGCCCTACCCACAGTGTATTTATTGTAATACTTATCAGAGTATCGGACAGCCTCGGCAACGTCTTGTGTACCTAGCTTTGAACAATTAGGGCGCACCTTTCCCGGCTGCGATCTCCGCCCTCCTGGTCTCACCATTTCGTAATTAATTTCTTTCCTTTGTTTGTACTTCCTACCATTTGTCGGCGAGGTCTCCAAAATAACTAGGTGCGTTGTTAAGGACCCGTACTTTTGATGTTCCCCTCTTTCGTCCTCATAGTACTCTTTTAACAAGCATATTCTTGTTTTCAACATCGGCAAGGTCTTCGTGTGATAGCTTTCATTAAAGTCCGTTTACACTTCAGTCTACAGTTTGCTAACGCCTCCATAAATCGTTAAGATGGCGCCAAGAACTTCCCGTTTATTTTTGTTTGTCAGATTTATGCAATCTATCAAGGAATTCATTAGGGTGGCTTTAAATAATAAACATTTGACTTTAACCTGGGATTTACATTTTTACGTCACTCGCTAGTAATGTAAACTTTGTGAGGAAAAAGATATGAAGAATGCTGGTGATACGTAATGCAGGTGTCTACATGGACTCACTCCCAGACCAGATGTTGCGATTTCTGACCTGCTCTGTCTTTGGTGTATGTGGGCACAACGATCAAGCCACCCGTCTTTTCAGTTTATTCTTCAGCCTTCTTTGTTGGAAGCTATTATCACAAAGTTTCTATATCATGAAGTTTTCAACAATTCCCCGTCGGCGATTTTTTACCATCCAGCATATGATGTGGATGATTAATAGTACAAAATTCTAAAAAAGTAAAGTAAAAGGTGAAAAGAAGAGGACCGTCAAATGCAAATCTTTTAAACTTGAATATTGTACATGTACCTTACAAACCTTACCCTCTTTTCCAATTCGAAATAATTCTGAAATGATTGCTAATAGAAACAACCACAAGTAACACTCAGTGATATAATTTGGATAACTTTATTTTCTGAAGAGCAGAAAAAAAAAATTACAAAGATGAAGAACTAAAAATTTCTTTGAATCATTTCACGTGCTGGCTTTGGTACCTTGTTACTGTTTATAATATTGTACATTCTGACATAATTCTGACGTTTGCTATACTAGTTGTTTGTTGTTTACAAAATTATACTTTCCTTGTAATATTCCATGCAGTTTGCGTCCTGAATATTGCATCAATTCATCAGATATTATATTAGTTTACCACAAATTTACAATCTGTTTATACATTTATTTGACATCTCTCTGTACATTAGGATACATCCATATTTACAGCTCATACCATGGGAACATTCTCACATCAGTCAGGATAATAACAACAATTCCCATACCTTGGCTTGGTTAAAATGCTCATTTTCCTTATGTATATGGCATCAACATTGGCTAAAATAGGATAAATGAGACTTAATATGGCAGAAAACTCATAACATGGAAGCGCTATTGTAATGCATCTTGGCCGTAATATGCATTGCAAACATATTATATTGGTAAGGCAAACCTCAACATAGTAGTTAAAAACTTACAATTATTGCACTGTTACCTAAATTGCTACAAAATGATGGAGCTCATTTGACATAGGAGGGCTGGTCTGCTCCAAGAACAAGTAAAACTTAAAGATTAAAAATGTGGAAAAATGACAGTAAGATAACAAACTAATGGCAAAACTAAAAATCTTAGGGGATTCTTGTCTTACAAGAGGATAGATTGTTGGCAAACAAAAAATACAGTCATGGATTATCACATTGGAAATCACCTGAGTCCCTTTCATGTCTTGGACATGTAATGGCTTCAGTGCAAACATGTTATCTAGGTTTTTCTCTGAGTATATTTCTGTTTATGATTTTTACATCTGTATATATACATATATGATTTTCCATCTCTCTTAACAGAGGGCCTTGTTACTTGGCACTGATTCGTCTCAAGGTTTTATAGTCAAGACTAAAAGCTCTCTCTTTTGGCTAGGAATATTCAGAGGATTTTCTAGTTGAATAGCACTTTCAGTACAAAAGTAACTGGCATAGATAATTTTCTGCAGGAGGATTTTGTCAGCAGGTTAACAGGAGCTTTCCTCTCCTGTCTGTTGCAGAAGTGGCAGCTGCCCGTTGTCGACATGAAACCCAACCGACCCATCCGAACTGACAGACTCCATAGACTGCGAGCGTGAGCTTCTGGTATCTTCATCATCATCACTAGGTCCTCCACCGCCATTGAGATTTGGAGCTTCGTGAACTTGAAAGCTTCTTCCATCTCCTGTAGATCTTTGGGAGAAAGGCTGGCTGCTGGAGTGGATGACAACAGTAGCACTGCTGCTCCCCACATCTGCCCCTAAATCCAACAGTTCCGAGTCACTGGAGCTTCTGCTGCCACGGCTCTGCAGGTCTTCCTCTTGCCGAGATGTGGACGGCAGAGCAGCAATGCTTACAGGTGGAAACCTGGGTGGGGAGGGGGGCAGGAAACTAGTCTTGCTGATGGGTGGAGCTTGGAACTCTGGGACAGCAGCAGCAGCACCCATGGGGGGTTCACTTTCTCCAATGATTCGGTTGGTTTCGTTGTCGGTGTCCTCAGAATCCGAGGAATTTCCTGCAGAGCTGATAGACGCCCGAATTCTGAGCGACCCGTCAGCCTGTCGGGTGACCTCTACCCGGTCACTCACGGTGCTCTGCATGCTCTCGCTGGATCGGGTGACCGTGAGCGCGATCCGTTCTTGGCTCTCCCCGGTGATGACAGCCTGGGCAGTGCTTGTTGACTCGCTGCTTCGACTACGGCGCAGGAACTGCCGCATCTGTTGTAGCCGCCGGCCTGGCCTCATGTTCATGGCTGCCTGCACGTGCTGAGTGAACGCCGTGTGGGCCTCTTGGAACTGCCGAGGTCCGTGAGATGCCACGGCGACGTGATAGGAGGGCGGGGCCTCCCGGCGGTTCAGCTCGTGCTGCAGGCGCATCATCGGTGTGTCAAACCGGCTGGGGAGAACACAATTCCCATTATGCACAAAGTTAGAAATTACTTATAAGAATAAGCTTTCGTGAAAAAATGAAAATTATCAAGAAAATTAAAAAAAAATGCTGAAGCAGCAAGGTAAACAACTAAGCATACAACACAGTACAATCATAATTATCATGACACTTCACATATGGCATAGATTCATTCCAATGATTTTACTTACGTGGACTGGTACCGTGGATCGTCCTGCAGACGGAGGGCGTACAGCTTACACGTACAGCCGAGAGCGATCACCAGAAGCAGGCCGCACACGATGGAGCCAATCACAGCAGCTGTGATCACTTTCTCAGACACATACACTGTGGGGGAGGCATCCATGAGATTTTCGATTTTGACACATTTTTTCCTCCTTTCTAATTTTAAACACTTTGATGTCATACCTTTTAGTTTCTTTGTAGAAAACAACGCACCCAAAGTTTACTTATTACTCTATTTTCTTGAAATGTATGGTATGTTCATCCTCCATTTACAAAATCATAATGCATTTATGTACCCCAAGTATTTCCATACAGACTAGTCAGAGGCAACAGCAGCACAAAATGTTCATCCTTAAGTGGTATGTAGAAGTACAGGTACCTTACTAAGAGGCAGAACAGGGACTTCCCTCTATGTCCATCTCTGTTGCACTTAGATACAACAATACCTTGTTCAGCATTTTTGGAATTCAGGTACATGATCATCCATAGCTGATCTCAGCTGAAAAGTATAACAATACAGTAAAAATGTCCCACCTTTGCAGCCTTCCTCATCTGAGCCGTCCCCACAGTCGTCCTGGGAGTCACACACCCACTTCTCATAGATACACCTCCTGTTCCGGCAGTGGAACGTTCCTTCTGCCGGGCTGCAGGAGTCTGGGGAACACAGAGAGGCTCGTAAACTGTCAAACCTCCAATAAGAAAGACTGATAGCAAGCCATTCCTTTACAATCCTGGTTATGATCAGCATATTTCATGGGACATATCAGCAGGGAGGTCTTATTATGAAGCTAGAGCAGCAGGAACTGGCATGGAGCAAGCACTAATAGGAACCAAGAGGATAACAGGATCCAGTTTGACGTCATCCAAAGTCTTTAATGAGAAAGGCTACATCTATCCAGACTGCAGATGGGGGCGTTATAGTGTCTAGGATAGCTGTCTGCAGAATTGCCTCAAATAAATTGTCTTGCAGCAGTCAAAATCCATAATTTAATTCAGTACCTTTCTTACATTTGTAATGAAGCCAAATATAATCGACACAAATAAAGATGCATTATTTCTTAAACTTTACATACCATTGTGTATGGATTCTTTACCACCAGTATCTGTAGAATAGACAGTGCCATGCTGTACATGTAACAACAGTTACAACTGTATTTTTGCTATGTCATTTGAGTATCCTGATTGTGCTTACCACAGTTAGTTTCATCCCTTCCACCATCACAGAAGGGTTCCCCATTGCAGTGATGTCCCTCTGGGTAACAACGCTTGGATGGACCCCCACATGGGACCTCTCCACTTCCACACATGTCTGGGGGAAGGGAAAAGAAAATTACTTTTTTGAAAGACACTGTAATCATAAAATCATACTACATGTATGCCAAAAACAGTTAGTCAAACAACTGGATATGATTTTGGAAACAGTCAGACGTTTCAGGTAGCATGCACTACCTTTCGTCAGTGTCACTGTTTAGTAGTGTTAAATTTTTTTGGCATATCTTATTACCTGCATGTCTAACCTTCAACTTCCCTGCAATTCTAAAGATGGTGGTATTCACATGGTAACTGACTAGTGGAGGATTCAGTTAGTTGGAACAATCTATAGGTTTTCTAGGTTAGCAGTGGCCATTCACCAGTACACAGTATGCTGGTATAGCTCTAAATACATCAAACATACCTGTATTGTCAATACATTAACCAACGGAACATTTCTTACATTATTATGTTGCATCAATCATATACACGTGTATGTACAATACTGTAGTCAGAAAACAATAACACAATACTGACACAATACTATCCACAAACCGTCGGTGCACGCCTGACTCTTCTTCAAGCCGGCGCAATCACGCTACGAGGACAAGAGGCAAGCCTGCTCCATAAAAACCCCTACGTTGTACGACCAGACACAGCATCGACGAGAGTTGTAGTGAGTAACATACCGTTGTCTTACGATAACGAAGAAATAGCTAAAACACTACGCTCACGTGGCTACAAGCTCACAAGTCGGGTCATCGACGAAAGGGCAAGAAACAAAGACGGCAAGTTAACACGTTTCCTAACAGGGAGAAGATTCCTGTACATAGAGAAACCCTCTACCCCTTTACCACGAAGGATGTCCGTAGGACTTTTCCAGGCTGAATTCTATCACAGGGAACAGAAAGAAGCCAGCCAAACGCAGAGACTCACATGCAGCAACTGTCTTGAAATGGGGCATCACAAGAGTGTATGCAACAAACCTGTTGTATGTGTTCAGTGCAAAAAACCTGGACATAAGCGTGGTGATCCTGCTTGCAACCTTGGCATGGATTCTGAAGATGAGCAGTCGGATGAGAACAGCTGTGTCAGCGACGAGCAGGACAGAGGGACATCTCCTGACAGCGAAGAACCAACAGCTCCACCAAGCATCGTGCAACACAACACAAGAAGCAGAAGCAAGAGTCACAGCCACAAGAACAATGATGAACACAAAAAGCAAAAAGAAGACTGATGACACCACAAACGACAAGCCTACAGAAATGTGTGAGCTATCAGACTCTACACAGCCCACACTAGAAAACTGGCTTAAGGAGCAGAGACAATCCTATAGTAAACAGAAGCAGGGTACAAAAGGAAGCAGTAAGTCACGAAAAAACCTACTTGTACCTAGGTGTATATTGTGTATGTCAAATGTCAGGTAACTCTCTCTTCAATAATGTTCATCCAACTCTCTTGAAAGATGTGGATGGATAAATTGAAGTTGATATCCTTTAACTGTAGAGGTTTAAGAAACTATAATAAACGAAATCAAACATTACTGTGGCTGAAACAAAAAAAGCAGATATATGCCTCTTACAAGAAACCTACCTGACAGGTGATATACAACAAAGCATTGACAAACACTGGGGTGGTAAGACTATCCATTCTTATGGAACAAATCATAGTAAGGGTGTTAGTATCCTTTTTAACCCAAAAGTACCATTTGATATTCTAGAACACAAAATTGACCATGAAGGAAGAAAAATTATTGTAAATTTTATGTATGAGAAGGAGAAATACACCTTACTATGTATTTATGCCCCCAATGATCCTAGAGAAAGAAGTAATTTCCTGTATGGTATTCAGGATTGGCTGAAAGATTGGAATCTCTATCCAATGCTTGTTGGTGGAGATTTTAATGACATATTTGATACAAGCCTTGATAAAATAGGTGGGTCTACCATTGAAAAAAATCAGCCATTGAAAGATTTCTGTCGCTCTTTTGATCTAATTGACATTTTCCGATTTCTACATCCATGCCTTAAGAAATATTCTTGGAGAAGGAAAACACCAGCAGTCGCCTGCAGACTTGATTACTGGCTTGTATCAAGCACATGTAGAAGTAATGTCTCTGAAGCTGGACATTATCCTGGAATAAGAAGTGATCATAATGCTGTATTCATAGATCTGTATACTAAGAAAATACCAAAAGGCAACGGAATTTGGAAATTAAATGTAAGTCTCCTAAATGACCCAACTTATAAACAAGAAGTTGAAAAAATCATAATTGATACCAAAATGGAATTTAAAAGTAATAAGCCAGATCTAATCTGGGAAATGTGCAAGATAAAAATAAAGGAGTTCTCCATTTCTTGGTCAAAACAACAAGCAAAAGAAAGAAATAGTCTGGAAAAAAGCTTATTGTCCAAATTGGAAGAAATTGAGAAAGACATTAATGAAAATCTAGATACCCAACTTTTAGCAGAGTACGACTCTACAAAGAAACAGTTAGAAAAAATTTATGAAGATAGAGCAAAAGGAGAACAGATCAGAGCAAAAACCATCCACATTACTGAAGGGGAAAAACCCAGCAAGTATTTCTTAAATTTGGAAAAGAAAAAGCAAGCACAAAATTGTGTAACAGCCTTATCTGTAGAAAATTCAAAGATTCAAGATCAGCCTACTATATTAAAAGAATGTCGGAATTTTATAAAACTCTATATACATCTAAAAACATTGCAGATAACGAAATTGATGAATATCTTGAGAAAATTAACATTCCTAAAACACTTACAGAAGAGGAGAAAGATAACTGTGAAAAACCAATCTCAGAACTTGAGTGTGAGACAGCTGTTAGAAATATGAAAGATGGAAAATCACCGGGATCTGATGGTCTCCTGGCGATTTACAAGTATTCTGGCCTCAGATAAGCTCTCTGATCCATGATGTTATTACAATGGGTCTCAATGAAGGAAAACTGCCATGTTCGTTTAGAAAAGCCTTGCCAAGATTGCTTTTCAAGAAAGGAGACCCTGAGTCTTTAGATAACTGGAGACCTTTGAGCTTATTAAATACTGATTACAAAATACTCGCATTTATATTGGCCAACAGAATCAAACCCCATCTTGATAAATTAATAAACAACGACCAGACGGCATACATTAAAGGCCGTTTCATCGGTCAGAATGTTAGATTAATAAATGATATCATAGATTACTGCGATGACAAGAATAAACCTGGGATGATTCTTTTTTTAGACTTCGAAAAAGCATTCGATACCATTGAACACAACTTTATGGTTAAAGTTCTTGATAAGTTTAACTTTGGACCCACCTTTATCAGCTGGGTAAAAACAATTTACACAGACTGCATTGCATCAATAATAAACAATGGATGGAGAACAGCCACTATTCAAATTAAACGGGGTATCAAGCAAGGCTGCCCCCTTAGCGCTCTCCTTTTTTTATTTGTTGTTGAGATACTGTTTCATATTATACAATGTAACAAAAATGTAGAAGGAATTATGATAGATGAAAACGAAATTAAATTATGTCAAGTTGCGGATGATATTACATTATTCCTATCTAGTGAAGAATCACTGATTGAAGTGTTAAGATGTATTGATCACT